AAGAGACTGATACATGACCTCAGCTGCTCTCACTGTAGCCCACTGTAATACCACCTCAGTGAAGCTGTGCATAATTTACCTGAAGTGAAATCAGGCGCGATAAAAGATGTCACATGGTGCTAAAGAGCATGTAAACAAAAGATATTTTATTTCTCCATATAGTTTTTTTTCTTTGCATTTCCCTTCAAGGACAGTTATCTGGATTTGAATTTCTCCTAATAGTATTTTTCTTGCAGTACTTTTAACTTGATCACCTTGGCCTCTTTAAAAACTTTTAAAATTTTTTTATTTCTTATAACTTTATGTTTAAAAACATTCCCCACCAGGACATTTCTCTGCATCCTCGATGCATGATAAATAACCAAAGCAGAGTAAAGAATGTCTTTCTTTTTTTTTTTAGATTCCTGAATACCAAATAATTACCAAATTCTGCTTTAATCAAGCCTTTAGTATGCATTCTGCAGTTATGTTTATTTTTATATCTTTAATCATCTGTCAATGTACTTTGATTATAATGCATTTGATCAATAAATGGATAGTCTTCTAAGATTCAAGTATGAGACAATTAAAACAGACAGTACCTACCTGCAGAGTAGTCAAAAATCCTGTGTGATTAAGCAAAGATCTTCTTGGCCTGACTGCGCTGACCTTTTATACTGCCTCCTTCAGTTCTGTCACCAGATTATTCCAGCCCTCCCACTCGGCTACTTCTCTCACCGCACGTCCCTTCAAATGTTCACAACACAAAGCTTAATCTGGAAACTTCTGATTCCCCGCAAACATCGTCCCTGATAGGATTATGTGTAACTTGTGTGTTATCTTTTTATTTCTGTATCATCTCACCAAGGCTTTACATGCCCTGCTTAATCCGATTTAAATAAAGAAGATCATATTTACCAGAAAAGATGTGCAAACAGACAAACATTATGTGTGTGTGTGTTTTCACATCAAATGCAGCCGGTGTCTGGGTCATCAAGTTTGTGTTTAGGCAAAGCAGTGACTTGGGAGAAAACATACAGATTTCTTTCAATTCATTTTTTTTCATTTCAGAGCCCTTTGTGTGGAGGCTGTAGTTTGTAGTGATGTTGAACTGTGTTATGTTAAAGATAGATAGATACAACGAAATTCTGTTAGCAGCAGCTTATAGTAACAATAAATTAAGACATTTAAAGGGGTTGTTTCTAATATTTTGTAATAAAGCTATGTCCATTTCAGCCACATCTAACTAATAAACTGTCAACTGAGAGTAAAAAAGGCATAATATAAATAAAATAAATCGTTAATCATTATGTGCTGTACATTACATAGTTGTTATTCTTTCTCCAAGCATACCAGTTCCTGAACATTGCCTAGTGGTAACGTGGAGTTAAACAGTACAAAGTATGAGTTTTAAGTATACCAGTAGCATGTACTTAGTTCCCACTGATCTGCTTTCATGATCAAGGGCGTATAGGGACATATCCCTACCATTATCCAGCAACTGTTGAAATGTCTCTAGCAATAATTAAAACACAACCACTGTTGTCAGTCAGCGTCTAGTCAGTGTATTAAGTACACAAATACGAGTCCAAGGAGTTTTTAAGTTTTGAAAGATGATGACCTCACCCCTCATGTGCCCCACAGTTGTTCGGTCCGCTTCCAACTTTCTTCAGCCCGTCACCAACTTTATATATAAAAAACGTCTCCCAGCGGGTTTTTATTGTTCCCACTAACAGTGACATGAAACATCCGCTCTTGGTCATGTTACAGTCATTTGAATGACGCTTTTGTCTGAAGTGACTGCAGTGTTCAGTGTCTTTCTAGAGGACACTTCAGCATGTGGACACAAGGCTCCAGGACAACTCGAGTTATTCTTCATGAAGAAATGATGAAGTCTACTTATTTCTTTTAGGTTTTGATGTGAGGGTGTATTTTGGAGCTATGACTCAAAATAATAAATAGACCTTTGTTTGATTGCTCTTATCATGTCATAACCAACGGTACTTTATGATTACTGTGGAATATATTGTAAACTGTGATACAACCATTGTTTTATGTGTTAGACACACAAGGGTGTTTGTGTGCACATGCTATATTTAGGCCAGGAGCAGGATAGAAGATTCAGTAGGGGGAAAGGTATCTAGGCTATAACTCCTGTTTTTTTAAAACAACAAGACAATTAAAAACATATCAAACAATAATGACAGTCTGCACTATTTGCCTGATGAGTTCAAATGGTTAACATGACAAAGGACATGGTATATATCATGCAGTAATATAGTAACATAATGCTGATTCATGGTAATACAATCAAGTAAAACAGTTGTTGTCATAAAACATAGTTATCGTATAAATAACAAGAAATAGTGCATATAAACTATTTTTATGGTATCAGATGTTTTAATATATGTTGTAAAGCAATAACTGTGAATGTTATTCTTTAATATTTTATAACCGTGTAAAATGTCTCCGATGTAAATCTCACAAAAGTACACAGACACACACAGGAAGTCAAGCAAGGAAGGTTTAGCAAAACCACACCAGCTTAAATGCTTCATGTAAAAATCAAATTTTCTCTTCACACAGGAGCCTTCATCACTCAAACCCTCTGGACATGACAGACATGTTAGGTTGCTCAAAACGCCACAGTGGATCATTTGATTTAATTTGCCTGGTATTGTTGCAAATTAGTTTTTGGAAAAACGTCCTTCAGTTGCTGTGTATTCATATTTCCGTGAGGCCCCACACACCCTCACAGGTGTCTTTATTGACTCTGTTTAATCAGAGCTCTGCTCAGGTTGGGCAGAGCTACGCTGCTTCACATGATATCACCAGGCTTCATGTGGGCTACTAATAACAATGAAAGAAAACAGAACCAGGTGTTAATCAAGCACAGCTACCCGCCCACACACAGTCCTGAGGAGAAGTCTGATCAAACATAATTCAAATTAAAATATATTAATTTTAATGCAGTAGGCCTATGCCATAAATAAAATCAACTGACCAAACAGATTAATGGCTATTAATCTGCTTTTTGTAAGTTACACTAATTTACATTGAAAGTGATTCATATGGATATTGATGTACTTTTAATTCTACTGTTGGTAAACTATTTAAAAAGAAAATGGTCAGTAACAGCCCAAATAAACCCAATCTGCACTGACTTTGATGTTATTCAGCTGTATCTCTTCGGTTACAAATAAGAATCTATGAAGAACAAAATTATTTTATTTTAAGAAAATAACTGACTGAAATGACTAGGATGAGAATTGATTTTTAAACACTACTGTTGGTTTAAAAAGCACTGAATGGTTTAATGAGAAAATACATTTCTGATGTGGTCTGGGACAGGTCGGCCTCCTGTCTCCTGTCCCCACAGTCAAAACTAAACATGGAGAAGATGCATGATATTTTTTCATGCTACACAGATCTGAATCAAACTCCCAGAAAACGTTTGTCAACTTTTATCAAATTAAATTTGGGACTATTCACAAATATTTTATAGTCATTATCAGTGGTGTAGTCTACGTGATACGCAGGTATAGGCCTTATAACCACTAGGAACGGTCAAAGATTTCCGTATACCCACTTAAAATAGCGAGATGATACGTAACAACATTTTGTGACAGAATATTCACACGTTCATTCATAAATTCACCCTGTTTGTGTTGCGAAGATCTGAACTGGTGTTTGCTGCTTGGCCTGTGACCGGGATCTGACCTCACCTAATAACAACACAGCTGCGTGGCGGTCACTCGGCGCACGTTTGAAATTAACTAATGTGAATCACTAAAGGAGATGTGAAACGCGAGCAAACTCAAACTACACTCTTTTAGTGTTTTCGTAAGCCTGCAGCTAAAGCAGCTGCCGCTGTAGCTAAGCTGATAACATACATAACCTAAGGTTGACAATGGTTTTGGAAGATAAGTGTGCTTGAGATGATGTGGACCACTTTTTGTGTCCGCGCTGTTAATAATATTCTGTAATGAATGAGTTTTGGTGATAGAATTGCACATAAGCCTATGTTCATTGTTATTACTGCTACTGAAAAGCCTCAGCTTTCCATTATCGTTAATAATAGTTGCAGCTTGCACTCTGAAATGTGCATTGAAAATTGCCAGATGATAAAACCAGATTCATATATCTAAGGCTAAATGTAGCTCTTAACTGGCTGAGTTAGATGGTGATTAACACTAAACATTAGACATTTCGACCATAAATTGGTGCAGAAAATGTCTCCAGAATGCAGGAAATTAAATGTTTAATGCTCAAAATCTTCTAGGGGAGGACCCCCAGGCCCCCCAATTGTGTATTCATCAATGAATATTTCTTTACATACTATTAAAATATCTTCTAGTCTGGATCTTGTGACCCCAATATTGTGGATTGTCACGTCTCCTATGCTAAGTGTTTTGTCACAACTCTAATCTGAACCCTAAAATGTCCCCACCACTTTTCAACACAAAGTGACGCCCTTTCCCACCTGTAACTGTCATTGGCTGTTAAAGTCTTTGCGTTGTAACCTAAGCAGTCCTTCAGAATGCGCTCTATTACATGTACATGCATCCTGTATGTATTAGTGAGTGTAGTGGTGCTCATGGGACGTCATGCTGGGACGGGTGAGTATGAGGCTGGGAGGGAAAAATCACAGTATACTCACTAGAAAAAAATAGACTACACCACTGGTCATTATACATTTCTTTTACTGTATTAAAATACCACTTATGTGTCTTTTTATATTCTCTTGTAAGTATTGTATTATTTCATGCCCTGACATTATGTTTCCTCCTCTTGTTCTTATGTACAGTTTGATATAATTTGACGGTGCATGAAAGTTGGACGAGGACTGCGAAGCTCGTTACAGTAAAAACCATCAGGCCCTCTGCTGGTTAACAGCTGTCACGTAGAAGGTAAGCCCCGCCTCTTCTTAATTTTCATTGGTCTAGACTGCAAATCCAGATACCCGTTTATCCAATAGCATCTTGAGCTTGCGTCACCTGGTTTTTCAACCCGGAAAACGGCAGTGAGCGTGAAAAAGGGCTGTAAAAGTGTTCAGGTTAGAAGTTGGCGACAAGTTTATTTGTGCTGCCAAAATGTTTACTTAACGTTACTTTTCTAGGTTTTAATTACAGCGTTTGTTCAGCATAGGTGTTCCCCAACATGATGCGAGCTCTGAAAGGCGTCAGACACCTGCACACCGGTACAATGAAACAAGCAGGTAACTTAACTAAGTTATATCTGCGGCTCACAGTCAGTCAGGCAGACAGTCAGTCATAGTTATCCAAAGAAGGTTAAAGTCAAGGGCAAATGTTGCCTACTTGAAGATACTCGAAGAAACTGAAGGATGGTGAAGAAGCCTCAAGAGGTCGCCGTCCAGTTGCTCTTTGTTTGACTCTTCCTTGGTTAATTAGTTTATCTATCGGTATGTTTGTTCAGATGTCATTACTGTTGTGCTCAAAACACGGGGAAAGTAGTGAAATAATCGTGTTTACATGTCATTAGAAGATATTGCTCGTAGTTTTATAAGTGCTTGTGTGTATGAGCTACAGACTGTACAACAAATATCTGTACATAGTAGGTTAATGTTTGTTTACATTTTCGAGCTTGCGTTGCGTTTGCGTTCTGCAGAAAGTAAATCAACAATTTTCATTTTCGATTAATGGTTGAAGTCATCTCTGAAACAAGAAATGCTGAACATCTGTTGGTTCCAGGTTCTCACATTGGGAAGGTCTGCTTTTCTGCCATATGTCAATGTAAATTGAATATCTTTGGGTTTGGGACAAAACAATTTGAGGATGTCATTCTCAGCTCCCAGAACCTGTGATGGGTATTTTTCACTATTTTTACATTGTAGGAACTAAACAATTAATCAATTAATAGCATAAATAAACGTAAAAATAATTGTTAGCTGCAGCACTAATACAGGAATCCAAAATTCATATTTTAGTGCTTATGTCACAATTTCTGAGAGATCAAGGTGAAGTTGTCAGATTGCTTATTTTGTTCCTCTAAAAGCCCCAACACATTTAATTTATAATGATATAATACAGAGAAGTAAATCCTCTAGTTTAACAAGCTAGAAATTTTTCTTTGATTAGTGATTACAACCTAATCACATTATACAACCCCGTGTTGTAAAATGATGGAATAAATCTACCTTGTAAAACTCGGTTATTAAAATAGTTGACAGCTAACTGTTTAATCAGCTCAGTTGTTTCAGCAGAAGAAATTCCTTCATGCAAACACACCTTTTCCCTGCTAATATTGTTCACGAAGCTTTCCCAGAAGTAAGTTACATGTGGCACAGAGTCTCTTCTTTCTGTTACCATACCACTGGTTAGACAAAAACTAATACAGGCTTTCATTAGTATTACTAAACCTCAGCATTGTTGTGTGTCCAGTTTCAGAGCTCTCCATACCGGTCCCATGGGGAGAGATCAGAGGTAAAGTCTGGGGTCCTGATCACGGTCATCCTGTGCTGTGCCTGCACGGCTGGGCTGACAACTGTGGTACATTCAACACCTTCATTCCCCTTCTACCCAAAGGTAATTGTTGTTGTAGTAAACTCATGTAAAAATGAACATGGCTCTTGGGCACCCATTTTAACTCCTCCTCTATAGTTTAAATTAAATCTCTAAGGTTTTCCACAAGCCTACTTCAAAAAGCAAAAATCTATCTTTAAACCAGTGGTCGGCAATAGGCGGCCAGATTACTATGATAGCAGGGGGAAAAAAAAATAATTGACTCCAGTCATGACAGCTACAGTTACTTTCACCATCACTTACTCTTAAGTGATTGTGCCTCTAAAATAAAAGCACGAGAACGTCTTTTTCAGCAAAGCTTTATGTCGAGTTTATTAAGAGCTTTTACTTTGAAGAGTTCTGAACAACATTCAAAAGAGTCTCTGGCCTGCTTGACCCACCTCTGAAAAAGATGTCAGTAAATGTGTGATTGGATTCCCCTGAATTTTCTCAGGGAAATGAAAATAAGTGTCCATAGGTTTATGAATGCGAACCTATGAACCTTGTGCAAAAGTGTCCTCCATTTGTAGTAAGTTGGAATTGATCTTACAACCTACCTAACGGGAGTCCCGCACAGTACCGAAAAAACTTCTACAGAAAATTGCAGTGCTGGAAACCAAGATCCACAGGTTAGAAGTGAATGTGGAAGTGAATGGACTATGCAGGAATGACACCACTTTACCGTGGACCCAAAACAGTGGACAAGACCATGCTAACACATGGCTAATTAGCACCAACAAGACTACCAAGAAGCAGGAGGCCTGTGTTCTGGGTAATAAATCTAAAAGTGGGAGTCTTCCCTGGAACACTCTTGGTGCAAAGCCTAAGAGTAAATAATTTCCTGGGGAAATGGGAGGACGAGTAACAGGCAGAACCCAGCGCCCTGAGATTTGTGATGCGACTGGCTGGCCTGCATTATCATCCAGGCAGAGCGCCTCTTCAACCCCTGTTCTTGGTAGGACACAGCCGTGGACAGTTGCGAAAGGGAGAGTTGGCAACAAACCTCCCCAACAACCGAGTGTGCAACAGCAGAACAGATTTTCACCACTATTGCAGGACCCTGGATCTCCGACTGATGACCTGGATAACCTCCGTCCTCACACAGAAGGGTAAGGACTGAGCGTAAATCAGAAAGTAAAAGGCTGCAGGGAAAGCTAACGATTGGGCCTCAAACCCTGATTGTGGGTGACTCTGCTGTAAACAATGTAAGAAGCATGTGCAATAAGAACACCAAAATACTCTGCTTTCCGAAGGATTCGGTGTCTGATTTGGCAGAAAGAATCCTGCATATCGTGGCTGAACATCCTACTGTGAAAAACATCATACTGCACATCGGGGCTAATGATGTTGTGAAGCAACAGTCTGAAGTGTTGAAAGAGGACTTTAATAATCTGTTGAACACAGTCAGCTCTTTGAATGCTGGGGTGTTTATCAGTGGCCCTATATCGCCAATCCAGAGAGGAGCTGAGAGATTCAGCAGATTGATGGCATTGAACACGTGGCTTTCAACGGCATGTCCTGTCCATTCAGTGCATATCATCGAAAACTTTTACTTTCTGTGGGACTGCAGACATCTTTTTTAAGGCAGATGGACTTTGCCTTAACAAGTCAGGAGTAAAATTGTTAAGCTCCAACCTGTTTTAATTTCTGCGTCACTCATCTGTTCCCTCTGCCAAGGACAAGAGACAAGAGGAATCTAAACAAGAAGAAGACATAACACAACATGCCAGAAACCTTGAAGAAGAGCCACCTCAGCCCCCGCCGGAAGAGAGCTCTGATCACGGGAAATAACTGAGCCAAGAGGTTGACCCTCCACCTTCCTCACTGAAAACCAACAGATTCACCATCTCTACCCACCCAATCCCCATCTAGGACACCCTTATCTCCAGACACCCTTTCTCCCCTCTCCCCCTGTTGGACTTCACTGATCACATGGAAGACCTGGTTAGAGCTGGGACAAAATTTACTCCCCTCACCATCCACCTCCACCACTGGTTCTAAGTCCTCCAGGTTTGACACATGTGTCACAAATACAGCGCACAAATCCCGCTCCACAATGGCGAAAAAGCCCAGTAAGCTCTGTCTGATATGTGCTGGATCCAGGCTACAAGGAAAATAGCACTCATGACTCTTCCCAGGACAAGCCCGGTGTGCTGGAAGTCTTCTCCATCCCTTTCTTGACAGGTAACAGAAAAAGCATGGTGAATGTGTTAAGAAACAGGAAGCACTCAACATATCCTGCAAATTTAGTATTAATTCCTCGTCAGCCGCAGCCTGTCGAAAAAAGTGGGCCAGATAATGTTTTTAACACACTAAAATTAGCTTTGTTAAACGTTAGGTCTTTGGCAGGAAAAACATTTTTAATCAATGATTTTATAATTACTCACAATCTCAATTTCATGTTTTTAACTGAAACTTGGTTGGACAAAGATAACAGTGCAGCTGTCCTTATCGAGTCTACCCCTCCCAACTTCAGTTTTATGAGTGAAGAGTGCATAAGAGAGGAGGTGGAGTTGCCATTTTGTTTAATGACTCCCTCCAATGCAAAAAGATGTCTTATGGGAATTTTGCTTCTTTTGAATATGTGGCTCTTCAGCTGAATTCCTCTTCTCGAGCTATTTTTCTAAATATCTACAGGCCCCCTAAATACTATGCAAACTTTTTTGATGACTTTGGTGAACTGCTGTCTATAATCTGTATTGACTTTGACTGTGTAGTTATTGTTGGTGATTTTAACATCCATGTTGACAACCCCCAGGACAGAGGGACTAAAGAACTGTGTTGTGTTCTTGATAATTATGGACTAAGAGTAAGGGGCGCACTTTGGACTTGGTCATCTCCAAGGGTCTGGACATTTCCAAGGTTGTGGTGACTGATGTTGCTCTCTGATCATTCCTGTGTTTTCTTTGAGAGTGCTATCTGTGTGCACACAAATGTACAAACAGAGGTAATCACAAAACAGCATATCACTGAAAACAGTGATAGTGAAAAATTTATTGAGGCTTTCTCCTCAACACCCGCCCTCTCACGGGTCTCAGTCAATGAGCTTGTAGATAATTACACTTCTAAAATTACAAATGTTATTGATGCCATTGCACCAGCCAAGGTGAAGGTGGTCTCTGGTAAGACAAGATCTCCATGGAGAAGTACCACGCTGGTTAGAACTCAAAAAAGAGAGTGTCGAAAAGCTGAACGCAGGTGGCGGAAAACAAATCTCCAGGTTCATTATGACGTCTATAAAGAGAGACTTCACATTTATAATTTAGAACTGAGAAATGCAAGGCGGTCCTTCTTCTCTGACATCATCACCAAAAACACTAATAATGCATGTGCCCTGTTTGCTACTGTCGACAGGCTAACCAACCCTCCTGTGCCTGTAGCCTCTGACCTTCTATCCACCAGGGCGTGCAATGAATTTGCCTCCTTCTTCACAGACAAAATTCAAACAATTAGACAAGCAATCAGTGCCTCCATGCCAGTAACAGGATATGTCTTGTCCCTATGTCCACTCAAAAACAATTTATATAGCACGAAAAAATTTGATTCTATTAACCATAAAAACCTGGAGGACATAATATAACATCTGAAATCCTCCTCATGCTGCCTTGATATTGACGGGTTTTTTCAAAAATGTTTCTAAATGCATGGCTTCAGATCGACTACAAATTGTCAACATGTCTCTCCTCTCAGGTTTTTTCCCACAGGCCCTGAAAACTGCAGTCATTAAGCCACTCTTAAAAAAGAGCAATCTAGAAAGGTCACTAATGAGCAATTATAGGCCCATATCAAATCTCCCATTTTTAAGTAAAATCATTGAAAAGGCTGTTTTTCAACAGCTTAGTGCTTTCTTGGCACTAAATAACAGTTTTGATGTCTTCCAGTCAGGTTTTCGACCACACCACAGCACTGAGACGGCTCTTGTTAAGGTCTTCAATGACATCCATTTAAACACTGACAGTGGCAGAATTTCAGTCTTAGTATTGGATCTCAGTGCTGCATTCGACACAGTCGACCACAACATATTACTAGACAGACTTGGAAACTGGGTTGGACTTTCTGGCACAGTACTAAAATGGTTTGAATCCTACTTAAATGACAGGGACTACTTTGTGTCTATAGGTAATCACACATCTGAACTGACAAAAATGACATGTGGAGTTCCCCAAGGCTCCATTTTGGGACTTCTTTTGTTTAACATTTACATGCTTCCACTGGCTCAGATTATGAAAAACAACAAAATATGTTACCATAATTATGCAGATGACACACAGATTTACATAACCATATCACCAGGGGACTATGATCCCATTCAGGTGCTGAGTAACTGTATTGAGCAGGTCAACTATTGGATGTGCCAGAATTTTCTTCAATTAAACAAGGATAAAACTGAAGTTATTGTTTTTGGAGCCAGGGAGGAACGATTGAAAGTCAGTGCTCGACTTCAATCTGTAATGTTAAGAACCACAAATCAAGCCAGAAATCTTGGTGTAGTCATGGACTCAGACCTGAATTTGAGTAGCCATATTAAGACAATTACAAAGTCAGCCTACTATCACCTGAAGAATATATCACAGATTAAAGGACTTATGTCTCAGCAAGACCTGGAAAAGCTTATCCATGCATTTATCTTCAGTCGACTTGACTACTGTAACAGTGTCCTTACAGTGCTCCCTAAGAAATCCATCAGACAGCTGCAGCTGATTCAGAACGCTGCTGCTCGAGTCCTCACTAAGACCAAAAAGGTGGATCACATCACTCCAGTTCTGAGGTCTTTACATTGGCTTCCTGTATGTCAAAGAATTGATTTCAAAATCCTGCTGTTAGTTTATAAAGCACTAAATGGTTTAGGGTCAAAATACATTTCTGATCTTCTGCTTCTTTACGAACCATCCAGACCTCTCAGGTCGTCTGGGGCAGGTTTTCTTTCTGTCCCCAGAGTCAAATCTAAACAAGGAGAAGCAGCGTTCAGTTATTATGCTCCGTATATCTGGAACAAATTCCCAGATAACTGCAGGTCTGCTGAAACTGTCAGTTCTTTTAAATTAAGACTGAAGACTTTTCTTTTTACCACTGCCTTTAACTAGTAGATTGATAACTTACACTGCACTGTAACATTTACTGTATTGTTTTCTTTTTCTTTGTTTTTTAGCTTTTTACCATTGCTTTTAATTAAATATTTACACGGTGAGAAATGAGAAGGTAATTGAGTAAGACTGAACAGAGTGAAGGAAGTGGTCTTAAATCTCATGCCTGAGTGATCTGCAGGAACCTCTGTCCACCTGTAAACGCGCAGGTGGGTCCAGAGTATAACTGGATCAAACCGGCCTGCGGACAGACATGTCCTGGTTTCTCTGTAGTGTCCGAGGGTTTTTGGAGTTTCAGTGGACCCAAAGATTGCTGCGGACCTGAGTACAGACTAGCTAGACAGAGTAGATTAAGTGTACTTCTCTGTTTATTCTCTTTTCAAAATAATTGTAACTCAATTATTTGCTCAACTCCTCAGCCTGTTTTTATTTTCCATTTAACTCTTTTAACCCTGATTGTGTACACTGCGCTGTAATTATTATTGTGTAATTTTTCAATTTCCCTATGTTGCTTTTAAACTTTTTTATATTTCCCTGTTGCTTTTATGTAAAGCACTTTGAATTACCTTGTTGTTGAAATGTGCTATACAAATAAACTTGCGTTGCCTTACATGTATTCCTTTGGGGCAATTGCGCCCGTCAAAATGACACAATGAAGTCACTGACAGCCCTTTTTGTGGATACAATTTTCACAGGTGTAATTGCCCCACAGGAATACATTGCAGCCAGTTGAAGCCATCTACTGCATGGGTTCCAATACTTTTTGGGCCTAAAGGTCATTTCAACACTAAAATATGTGAAGATAGGGCACCAGTTTAAAAATACCGAAATTATCCTTTAATGTATGTGCACACGTGGTATAAATCAACATGTTCAGCTGCTCCTGCTGCAACTCAGTGTTAAAATTAGAGCTAGAGCAAGTTAAACTTATTGGGAGATTACCTTTGGGATACCTTCGACTTTCTGCTTTTTGTACTTCTTGTATGTAGCATGTAAACTGCACATTTCCTGCCTGCCTCAAAGCTAAATGCTCAATCAATTAAAGGCAGAAATGCCCCAAAAATAATTGTAAAAAATCTTTTTTTTCAGCTGAAGCAAACACATTTAAATTTGCTTGATAGTGTTGAGTTTTTTAGTTAAATAGTACGTCATTATTTCCTTAATGTGACAATCACTGAGACTCAGTGCTTCTCTCTGTCTTCCCCTCAGAGTGCAGATATGTGGCGATGGACCTGGCAGGTCACGGTCAGTCATCACATCGCCGTCCTGGAGTTTTCTACTCCTTTCCTTCGTATGTGATGGATGTACGCAGAGTCATTGACGGTGTGTGGGTTCATGAAGTCGCAGGAGTTAATCCACTAATTCAACTCAAACATCAGTGTTTGTTCATGCGACAGGTTCGGTCCCTGCGTGTCCTGGGTTTGCTATATTGACTTGTTCATGTTTTTTTTATTGAATTCAAACCACTATGTGATGCGTAATTTATTTTTCCTTTAATTGTACATTGACTTGTTTTATTTGTTGTGCACCACTGTGTGTGACAGATTTTTAGCCGACTTATTATACATTATATATGTTGGATATATATTATACTATTAGTATTATTATTATTAACTCAAAGAGAAGAAGGTGTCTGATGAAGACTGTTGATGAAAGCTCCAGTTTTTGTCAAATCAAAGATATGTGTTTTTGAACACATTTGCCATTACAGTATATGTTCATATCTAAATATCACCCAGCCCTAGTGCATCTGTACTGCAGTTAAAGCACAGCAGTTTTGTTGCCTTCTAACTTAAAACAGTCTGAGTGTTCTGTGATGAGATACGGGACCTGGTTGATGATCTGTGAAATTAACTCCCACAGCTATGCAGTGGAATAAATTCTCCATCATAGGCCACAGCATGGGTGAGTTCAGCTTTACAGCAAAGCGAGAGAGATTCAAATGCTTGTTTATTTGCATGTATATATTTATGTGTACACTTTCTTTTTTTAATTTTATTTCAGGTGGTAACATTGCTGGACTGGTAAGTACGATACATATACTGCCTCTGTATCAACTGTTTAGCTGTACCTTGTGGTATTTAGTCCACATTGTGTTTCCCACAGTTCAGTGCACTGTATCCTGAGATGGTGGACGCTGTCGTACTGTTGGACTCTTATGGATTCTTACCTACAGACCCGGTACTTTAACAGTATTCCCCCCCATAGACTACAGTTACTTCAGGGCTGCAGTTTGCTGTTTAGATAAGGGTTAAGAAAAATACTATATGCTTTGAAGTTGTAATGCTTTCCTTTGTGGTGATAAAAATAATTACATTTGTTTACACCAGCCTGCGGAACCATTTCACAAGTCCTCCCACAAGATTTTCCCCCAGTCCTTTGCTTTAGAAGTAATCATTTGCATTTCAAGCTTTGCTCAGTATAACTATGAAACAGGTGTTAAATTGCGTTTTTTGTGGAAGTTGCTCCTAAAAGTGACATTAAACTTTGTGAACTCTGCAGAAACCCTGGCATTACTCTACTAAACATGCAGAGCAGTAGGTACAAAGGAGAAGGGCGGACATGTTGCTCAGCTATAGTATAAAATGTATAAAATATATATTAGGGTGTTTGACATATTGAAAGGCGTCACATTTAAGAAATGCTTTTCAACACCAATGTCTAAATGAGTGACAGTTTGTCCTACTAAATGTATTATATTATTGCACCACTCCACATTTCACAGAGAGCTGTGCTGTACAGTCCGCTCCTGCCAGTAGTTTTGAATTGCTTCCTTCATCATTTGTGTCCGTTTTCTGGCAGAATGAAATGCCTAAAGTGATGAGGCAGGGGATGGACGAGATGCTTCAGTTTGAGAAGAAGACAGAAGAGAAAACAAGAGTTTACACTTATGCAAAGGCAGTTGAGAGGTGCTTTATCATTCCACTTCTTGGTCATTGATATCTAGTTACTTTGTCTCTTTTAACCAGCTGCTGGCTAAAATGTTTCATTTCTTCCAGGCTGTTGGCTGCAAACCCGAGTCTGTCTGTGCAGTCTGTACGCATGCTTTTAGAGCGCGGTCTAGTTCAAGTTGAAGGAGGTACGTCTTTGTCTGCCTCTTCCGAATAATTACACTGTTTTTACTCTTACACTGAAAATATTATGTATTTTTCTCTCACAGGAGTGGTGTTCTCTCGAGACTTTCGAATTAATCTGGTAGGTTACAGCTGAACTGCACCAAATCATCATTTTGCCTTTTGATTTCTCCAAAATGGGTCGTCATATGCAGCCCATAAAATGCAGGTATACGGTATGTTATGTTCTTCATTTTCAGAAAAACATTGTGCGCATCAGTTTGGAGCAGAGTCTGGAGATGCAGTCAAGGATACAAGCGTCTGTTCTAGTTATTCTGTAAGATTTTCCCCCAACTCAAATGTTCTAAACTCTACTATTATAATGTACCTCACTGAATACACATGTTTGTCTTTGTCTTTCCAGAGCAGAAAGCGGCTTTGAAAAAATATTTGCTGAACCAGATCAGAAGAAATTTACATCAGCGCTTCTCCAGGGCTATCGGGACAGAAATGTGAGTGTACAGTCTATTTCTGTTACATAAGTACGCTTGCAGCTTCGTGTTTATTTTTAACCGCCTGTGTGTGGATAAGACTGACAGACGCACAAATGCAAAATTAGCAGCGTAGTACGAGCTCAATGTCTCAGAGGGGGCACAATTTTCTTTATAGCTGTGAACCTCGACGCTGACCTACATACTGGAACTTGGTCAAATGCTGCTGATGCTGTCTCTTTTCAAGTCGGCTGCTGATAGAAAAATTCAGTGGATGTCAGTCTTTGACGCGGTGCAGGAAAAGACAAGCATGGGATGGTAGAATGCTAAGGATTTTAAAAACTGCTATAATCAATATTTCTATAATAACAATGTAGCAAATAATAATGTGAAAACAATGGAGTGATGCACCTGGAGACAACAACACCTGAATCTGCAGCTCCCCTTGACTTCACCAGCTTTATAGTGAGTTTTAGCTGTTTGTTTCCTTGTTTAGCCACTTAACTGTTTTGGTTCACTCTCAGTGTCATTTTCAGGCAGACAAGTTTTCAGCAAATAAAGGCTCTAAAACAGCAGACAGATACACAGTTAGTGACTAGCTGGTTGAACACCGTGGAGCATTTAGCAGCCAAAACGGCAGATATTTTCCTCAGGACTTTGGGGAGACCAAAAACAGAGCTAAACAAGAGTGAATATTGGACTTACATTCAACAGGTGAAGAGGAAAATGTTGCTCTGGAACTGCTGGATGTATAAATAAGCAACTGTTTGCAAACAATTTCATCATATCAACTTAAAGGGTAACTTTGGATTACTATTCTTATCAAGGGAGTAGCTTGGCTTTTACGAAAGCGATATCACCACTCTTTCTGGTTAAATAAAAAGGATCTTTAAAAAAAGATCTATCTCTGTTTGGATCCTTTTCACACTGTTTTCGCACCCTGTTAACACCCTGTCTGATCCTTTTGGTGGCAAAAGAAAGCACCTTTAGAGGACGTAATTTGACAGGGCGATATTATCTGCAATACGTTACAGCCCCGTTTCAATGCTGCTGAGTGCAGGGGGTTCAGTCAATACACGACCACTTTCAAAAAATGTTGTTCCAATTAGTCACATAGACACACAAACGTGAGAAAATAGTCCAGGTTGAAAAATACAGAGGCTACATGTCAATGTTGTGTTTACAATTAGTTTCTGCTTCCTCTTTAAGTGGCCATTGTAGGTTAAATATAAGAAGTTAATCTCTTATACTCGTCTTAATCGTCTGTCTGACTCTTTCTTTCAGCACACGGTGGTGACTGTACCAGGAAATCATCACGTCCATCTGAACAATCCTGAAGTCGTCGCTCCACTTGTGTCTGACTTCCTGCAGACCAAAGTGTTGTCGCAATTAGCCAGACTAAAAAATGAACAGACCTCTAAGTTATAGCAAACACACAAACGTGCCTTAAGTCCAGCCGGTCCTCACCAGAAAAACGACCGCATATGTTGTTTTTTCAAGCAGCTTATTACGACCAATATGACGTACCATAAAGAGCGAGAAAGTCCAAGTAACGAGGTGGATGGAGTAGATAAATAGGTCAAACCCAGAACATTTGGGTATTTGGGTCACATGTGAAACTAAGTCAATGTTGAGTTATTTATAGTTTTAAGTTAAATAGCATTATTGTCTCGCATGACACAAGTCAGGTAACGTACTTACTTACCTTAACCTATCCAAGTAGTTTTGTTGCCTTAACCAAACTGCAAATGTTTCCCAATGTAACAAAGTGTTTAATGTCATGTAACTTACATAACCTGGTAAAAGTCCAGTACACCTCTGGCTGGAGTGGTACTTTCCAGCGGTTATATGTGTCGTTTAGGTAAACAGTCATATATGTCTTTGTTGGAGGCATTGACAAACAACCTATGCTGTCGTTGTACATGTTGCTGAAGTCATATTACACTAAGTTCTCTAAGTTGTGCTTATGTTCATACTGTAGTGTTTACACCAGTGGTTCTCAAAGTGGGGGATGGGCCTCCCTTTTGGGGAGCATAGAGCCACTGCAGGGGGGGCGTGTGGATTAAACATTTGGAGTGGAACTAAGTTGACTGAACATGACTAATGTAGGGGAATAAATAACCAAGAGTTTGCGGATGCTATTGTTCCAACTGGAATCATTTTTTTTTATTTCAATCGAATTCAACTCATTACCTCCTGTTTGCCCTACTATTATTAATTATTTAACATATTTTAAAAGATATTAATGTTTTATTGTCATATTAAAGTGGCATGTTTTTGTGGATCATAGAGTGACCTCGATAATAAACATTTCATGGAATTTACACATTTCCAACAATGTCTACAAAAAGTGATTATGAGCTCTGTAAAGATAGATGGCGTGGCTGAGATGTTCAATTGGACTGGATTAGATTATACAGGTGTATCTAAAAAAAATAATTAAAAAAAGTGTCCACTGAGTGTATATGTATATATTTTGTTTTATATTTTTTAGTGCAGTCTAATTCCTGTAAGACACTTAGTGGTTGTCTGGGATTGTCTGGTGTTTTTCAGGCTGCTTAGCTCTCCTTGGCTTGGTGCATTTCTGCTGCCCTACAGGTGTATTCACAGGCAGTAGTTATTTCACCTTGTACCTGCTGTCTTTGATGAAAGTTTGAAATGCACTGTGGCACATCAGGTCTGTTAGATGTCTGCTGCCCATTGTTAATATTTTAGCAGTTGCACAAATTCTCTGAAGTGTGAGTCCTCATATTTAATCTCAAAAGTTGGTGATCTGTGGATGGTGAGCAGAGGAGGACTCTAGACTCAGCAGCTGCTGTGACACTGTTGTTTACTGCATGTTTTCAGTAATGCAGCATTCAAGCTGAACAAGAATGGCCTTTAGTTTGGCTGGCTGAGTGGCAGTGACTAATAAAAAAGGGCAGGAAGTCATGAAACATTAATGGAAACAGTTCGAAACCCTAGTTAAGATATAAATAGTTTTATTATGTGACTCTGATTCAAAGTTTAATGTGGTGTGTGACCTAAAGAGCTTTGGATGCACACACTATATAAATACAGGTGCTGGTCATATAATTAGAATATCATCAAAAAGTTTATTTATTTCAGTAATTCTATTCAAAATGTGAAACTTGTATAATGCATAAATTCATTCCACACAGACTGATAAATTTCAAGTGTTCATTCCTTTTAATTTTGATGATTATAACTGACAACTAATGAAAACCCCAAAATCAGTATCTCAGAAAATTAAAAAAAATACTGTGAAAAGGTTCAATATTGAAGACACCTGGTGCCACACTCTAATCAGCTAATTAACTCAACACACCTGCAAAGGCCTTTAAATGGTCTCTCAGTCTAATTCTGTAGGCTACACAATCATGGGGAAGACTGCTGACTTGACAGCAGTCCAAAAGACAACCATTGACACCTTGCACAAGGAGGGCAAGACACAAAAGGTCATTACTAAAGAGGCTGGCTGTTCACAGAGCTCTGTGTCAAAGCACATTAATAGAGAGGCAAAGGGAAGGAAAAGATGTGGTAGAAAAAAGTGTACAAGCAACAGGGATAACCGCACCCTGGAGAGGATTGTGAAACAAAACCCATTCAAAAATGTGGGGGAGATTCACAGAGAGTGGACTGCAGCTGGAGTCAGTGCTTCAAGAACCACCACGCACAGACGTATGCAAGACATGGGTTTCAGCTGTCGCATTCCTTGTGTCAAGCCACTTTTGAACAAGGCACAGCGTCAGAAGCGTCTCACCTGGGCTAAAGACAAAGGACTGGACTGCTGCTGAGTGGTCCAAAGTTATGTTCTCTGATGAAAGTAAATTTTGCATTTCCTTTGGAAATCAAGGTCCCAGAGTCTGGAGGAAGAGAGGAGAGGAACAGAATCTACGTTGCTTGAAGTCCAGTGTAAAGTTTCCACAGTCAGTGATGGTTTGGGGTGCCATGTCATCTGCTGGTGTTGCTCCACTGTGTTTTCTGAGGTCCAAGGTCAACGCAGCCGTCTACCAGGAAGTTTTAGAGCACTTCATGCTTCCTGCTGCTGACCAACTTTATGGAGATGCAGATTTCATTTTCCAACAGGACTTGGCATCTGCACACAGTGCCAAAGCTACCAGTACCTGGTTTAAGGACCATGGTATCCCTGTTCTTAATTGGCCAGCAAACTCGCCTGACCTTAACCCTACAGAAAATCTATGGGGTATTGTGAAGAGGAAGATGCGATACGCCAGACCAAACAATGCAGACGAGCTGAAGGAAACTATCGGAGAAACCTGGGCTCTCATAACACCTGAGCAGGGTTAGGGTTAGGGTTATCAGAGCAGGCAAAAGGAGCCCCAACTAAGGTATTGAGTGCTGTACATGCTCATACTTTCATGTTCATACTTTTCAGTTGGCTAACATTTCTAAAAATCCTTTTTTTGTATTGGTCCCTCTAATTTTTGGAGATACTGAATTTGGGATTTTCATTAGTTGTCAGTTTTAATCATCACAATTAAATGAAATAAACATTTGAAATATATCAGTCTATGTGTAATGAATGAATGAATATAATATCCAAGTTTCACTTTTTGATTGGAATTGCTGAAATAAATCAACTTTTTGATGATATTCTAATTATGACCAGCACCTGTATAGCTATTTACCCTTTACATTGCTTGGTTAATTGATTCTGTTAGGGGGCTGTAGTGGGGAAAAGTATATAAACAGTTATCTTGATCAGCACTACAGCATTTTCTTTATATCAACATGTAATATTATGAGTATTAGGCCAAGTCATTCAGTTTAAACCGTAATAAGATTAGCTGGAGACCTTTCTTAATGTTAGAAATTATGAACTGTCTAAAAAATAAAAATTAATTTTAAAAAAATGATTCAACAGAGGGAGATTAAGTCTTGTAGGAGACTTTTGTTAATGTTGTCATTAACTTATCTTTGTCTGGTATGGCCATGTACACTGTATAAAAAATACTGAATAGTATAACTTTAGAAAAGTGCTATGGATTAAAGCATTACATAAATGCAGTTATTTAGGCATTTTATACATTACTATTAAAGGTAATTATTACTCAAACGGAAAGTCAATTTAAAGAAGCCAGATATAAAATTGCCCTGGTGGTTACCTGGGGCAATGATTGTGAGTACTGACCTAACTCTACCTTCCAGCTTCACCAATATATTTTTTTCAGATGGTCAAGAGCTACTTCAAGCTATAGTCTATGGTTGCTTTTCCTGTTTATTTTCCAAATAAATAATATTTGCCCATAAAATCTTGTGTCTGTTGCACAATCTTCCCTTTTCTCTAAAATGTCAAAATGCTAACAACAATCATTTGCATTTCCATTCAAATAAACCTTTATGAGCATGCAGATGTTTTGACAGCTGTTGGCACATACATCAAATATGTCAAATTAATAGTTGGAGTACAGCAGATATGTAAATATTGCAGAATGATTGTAGATGTATGAAATATATTTCTACAGCTGTTTTGTAGCAATGTCACTTTTATCTTTTGTAGATAGGCTTAAAGTTAGGTGCTCTATATCATCCTAAAAACGTGTGATTTTTATTTTATTTTATTACACATTATACCATCTGATCTGTTCTGATTCATAGCTGATTCCTGGGTGAGCCTTAGTTTCCACATCTCTTATCGTATACAATAGTTTACTTTCAGACAGATATTGTTTTGTCACTGAATGACAAATTCATGCCTGTAGACTTTTACTGTTTCTGTACTACAACTCATCGCTAACATTACATTGTTGTTGTTACTGTCTGTGCTACTGTAGATGAGTGGTGCAACAGCAGCCTTGGATAATAGCAGGCACACAAGGTTTTCTACAAAAGAACTGCATTTTTAAATTACTTTTTTCATGCATTCTAAAAAAAATAAGAATTAAACAATAAACAGCCAAATCTATCCATTTAAAAATGTGTCAAATTGGCAGTTATGCAGCTCTCAAGCTGAAAATAGGCCCATATTATGTCCCTCACTATAGATCTTAATTGAGTCGGAGTCAGCTGTTCATCAGAGTGATGGCTTGTGTGAAGAAACCTTTCCTGAGTCTGTTGGTTTTGGCGTACAGTGCTCTGTAGCGCCTACCAGAGGGGAGAAGTTGGAACAGGTTGTGTCCGGGATATTTGAGATAGGATATTAATGTGGAAATGCCACAAAGTTTAAAAAACAAAACATCACAAAGCTATTTAATGTCAGAGATACACTCCCTTAACTTCAGAGTGACAATGATAAAGGATTCTTTGTGCAGGAGGTGCAGAAAGGAAATGGTAATTTTCCCGTGTGTGTGGGAAAGTAGTCTACCGTGGATGGTCCAAACAGTCTGTGTGCATCCTTTTAGAGTGCTAAAGTTAGAGTGTTAAAGTGTTATGTTTCTTTGTCTGTGTTGACATGCTAGCACTGCTGCAAACTTTACGAAATTTTTGACACTTTGCAACAGCACCCACAATGTCTAAAAAAGGTAACAACGTCAGACTTGGTGGAAATCCACAGCTGTTAAAATCATTGATATGCACTTGTTTACTAGTCAGTATGCGTATTTTGGCTCCAGCATCCAGAGCTTTTGAGCTTGTAGCCATCTGTTGGGGAAAGTGCCAGCTAGGCTTATAGCCTACACCTGAATAAAATATTTAGCTGTTGTTCATTTCTGTTTTCTGTCATCTGTCAAATCTTTGTGTGTATGAGCTTCAGACTTAGTTCTCTTTATGCAGCTGTTGTTTAAGTGTAGCCAGTTTGCAGGCTGTTGAGTTTTGCAGATGATTTTTGTTTTGAGACTTAAACTGAAATGTCAACCAATGTTGGGCCGACAACAGTGGTACATTGAACACCCTCATCCCCCTTCTACCCAAAGGTAATCCATTACTGGCTAGTTGGTAATGAGATATTCAGTTAACAAAACATTTCATTTTGGGGGTTTGGGGTATTTTCTTACTCCACAACTTTGTACTTTACTTGGCATACATGTAATGCAAATTCTTCAAAAATCTTCATCTTAACAAGCAGTTTGTGTCTATAATTGTGTCAGAGAGTTTTATTTTTAACAAACGTCTGCCATTGTATTGCAGTAAGATAGTTTCAACGTGTTTTAAAACAAGTAACCTTATTCTGTCTTCTTTTAAGAATCATTTCTAAAAAATCACAATAAAGGTTTTTAAAACAAGTTGATTTCTGCCAGAAGCAGGTTGAAATAATCTAACTATACGAGCAGATTGTTTCACTTATTTTAAGAAAGAAACACAATATGATCCTCATATAAAATACTTAAAATCAGCTCCAACATATCCAGCTGACTAGTTATAATAGTAAATAAAATGCTTACATGTTAATGCAATTAAGTCAAAAATAAATATTGTAAATTAAAACACTGACACTCTTGGTGTCTACGTACACTACGTACTGATGATTTGTACGTTTGATTCTTTAATTTATTTTGCTAATAATAGTTATGTATTTTTACTTGTAGTAGTCTTTTTACACTGAGGCATTGATAGTTACAGGATCTGAGCACTTCTTCTGAGCAAGGCGGATACAGACAATTCACAAAACTATGGACAAGCTGTCCAATTAGTCAGAAATAAATGATCCCATTGTAAGATCAATATTAAGTTCTCATATGATGTACACCACAGTACTTAATCTAGTAAACACACTAGTCCACAAGAGTAAATGTATATAAGATAAAATAGTTATCCCAGCAGTCTACTTAGGAAACATCCTTGGACATTACGAAATATTAAAGAAAACATGGATCTGTACGGTCAGTGTTGTAGTACTTGAGACCGGTCTTAAGACCACTTTTTTGATGGTCTTGGTCTCGTCTTGCATTTGTACTCGGTCTTGTCTCTGTCTCGGACATTGAGGACTTGGGATTTTATTTCAAAACCAGTCAACATTTGGGAATATCAATAAATTGCTTGTGCATTGTCTGATTTATTTATTAACATCCTAACTTTGATTCACCCCTCCCCGCGACGGTAAGCATGGAAAAGGAATGTTGAATAAAGATGCTTACGTTCATTTCAGCTCTTAGTGTTTGTATTTGGGTGTTTTAATGGGAATGTTGATGTGGATCTTTCAGATCGATTTGTTTCATTCCACATTTTATTGTGTGTCATGCAATGTGGGGAACTGGTCTTGGTCTTGACTTGGTCTCGCCCTCCCTCGGTCTTGGTCTTGATTTGGTCTCAGCTCCTAAAAGTCTTGGTCTTGTCTCGGTCTCGATAAACTCTGGTCTTGGTCTTGACTTGGTCTCGGTTTGGGTGGTCTTGACTACAACACTACGTACGGTCAAACGGTGTGTGAGTTTACAAAGTTGCAGAATATTTCTTTCGCCAAACTCAGACATCAGTGTAGGTTTTAACACAAGGTCAGACCTCTCCAGGACTTCCTATTTATGCCCATGATCCAAGCAAAGTAGATACTGAAGCTGCCAGGTTGATGATCTGTGAAATGAACTCCCACAGCTCTGCAGCTGAAGAAATTCTCCATCATAGGCCACAGTATGGGTGAGTGCACCATTGGAGCTTAATATATCTTAATCTGTGTTGTACATTTTGCTGCGTAAAGTAATCACAAAAGTGCAAATCACATGGAGTTTTTATTTAAAGGTGCTGACACTGCTGGATTGGTAAGTGTCAGGCTCTTATCTATTTACTCTTTTGCACACCGTATACAAAGACCATATTTTCATATGTGTGGTATGATAATATGATCTAAATTGTGTTTCCCACAGTTCAGTGCACTGTATTCTGAGATGGTGGATGCTCTTATGCTTCTGGACACATACGGATTCCTGTCTACAGACTCAGTACAAAGTGTTTTGACACAAATTACAGTCACTGTAGAGCTGTAACAGTTTGTGTTTTCAGAAACGTCTGACCAGACACCAAAAGAGAAAGTCTAAAAAAAGGGTCACAACATTTTCTGTCAGGCTTATGTCCCACAATGTGGCTCTAAATGTTGTTTCAAGGAAGGAAATTCTAAATCCTTTATTTCTATGTTTTGCTGGATTTAAGTAGTCAAATTAAGTACACTGAATATAAAATCTTAGAATCAGGCCATTTAATGCCCACCTTTTTGTGTTTTTTTATTGCAGAATGTAATCTCCCTCCAGGTATCTAAACCTCCCAACTGACAAAAATATGCGTCAGTGTATACAATGACTGCTGCAGCCCTGGTTAAATGTTAGTACATATAAAGTCTTCTTATTGTAGATTTAGATATTGTGTTCATTATGAAATTTTAGCAGGGGCTGTCAAGGAAGTCCTTTGATCTCCATTCAATAATATTCATTCTAGTGGTGAAAATGATTCCTGTAGTATTATTGCATTCTGTGATTTTAGTCATATTCTGTATCTCATATCATAAACAAGATCCCTGCTGTGCTTTCCACTCCTGTCAGTAGTTTTTGACCTTCCCTTTTCCTGCAGGCAGACATACCCAAAGTGATGAGGCAGGGGATGGATGTGATGCTGCAGTATTATAAGAAGACAGAAGAGAAGAAGGCAGTTGAGAGGTATTTATTAAGTCATCCCAGGTCTTGGAAATTTACAAAGCAGGGGTTCTTAACCTTTCTGGCAGTCCGACCCCTTTTTGAGGCTGAAAATATTTTGTGCCCCCCCCCAACAAGACACACACCTCCATCCTACTCACTTAATGGGATCAACCTTAGCTAGCTAACTTAGCATTGCCTTTTGAAATTCTTATTCTTCTTTGGCGTTTTTTAGCAGCTGGCATTACCGCCACCTACTGGTGGTCCGTCTAGTTATTTTTTCTATTTTTGTGTCTATAGCAGCATTCTCGCAACCCCCCTGGGACCTGGTGCCATGGGGGTCCAGACCCCCAGCTTAAGAACCACTGATATAAAGGACTATTACATTTCTAGTAACACTGTCTCCATAGTCAGCCGTTGGCTAAAATGCTTCATTTCATTCAGGATGTTGGCTGCAAACCCGACTCTGTCCAAACAGTCTGTGTGCATCCTTTTAGAGCGCGGCCTAGTTCAAGTTGAAGGAGGTACGTCTTTATCTCTTCTTCTTCTCTCAGGGAGGAATAATCTCACCTTGCTTCCTCTCATCTGCTGGCAGCTGAATGTGTTTCCCTTCAGCAGGTTTTGTGTTCTCCTGAGACCTGTGACTTAATTATGTAAGTCACTTTTAACCTCCAAACCTTCACCCACATTCTCCCCCGCTTCTCTGTTAACTTATATATTTTTTTACACAAGAGGTGTGTTTCATTTTTCGTTTCCAGAAAATCATAGCACGGATCATTTTGGAGCAGAGTCTGGGGATGCAGTTAAAGATTCAAGCCGCTGTTCTTGTTCACCACTGAAGGGGATTTTTCAGTACAACAAATTTGTAGTACAACAGTGTGACAACAGACAGGGACATTTCAGCTGACATAAATGTCATGAGCAGCAAAACTGGTAACAAACAAAGTGAAAATCTTATCCCCATCTCCCAGATATTCTTGCATGCAAGTCACAAATCTCTGTCTATGTCATAGTTATCTAACAATAACATACCCTTTATCCTTTTGCGTTACTCCTACAGTATATGGTCTTTTGTCACATCGAACTAATTATGTTCAAATCTCCTTCCAGAACAGAAAAAGGGCTTTGATAAAATATTTTTTGAACCAGCTAAAAAGGAATTTACCTCAACGCTTCTCCAAGACTGACAGGATGGAAATGTGAGTTTGCAACTGGGACAGAATGAAAATACAATCAAAATGTTTGAAGTGGTTTGTTGTGATTCTTTAATCATCTTAGTGGTTACTGATTCTGCATATCACCAGTTAATATCCCTCCCTGTTTCTGTTTGTTTTAGCACACAGTGGTGACAGTACCAGGCCATCATCATGTTCACCTGGATAAGCCTGAAGTTGTCGCTCCGTATGTGTTCAACTTCCTGCGAACCAAAGTGCTCTCACAGTCAGCCAGCCAAGAGCAAAAGTTAAAAGCTACACACTCACATTGATGTCATATGTCATACCGTTGTTTACAAGAGCAAACTGTGTGTTTACTTTAACAAAAGTATTAAAGGTCCCATGAAGTGTCACCATTGCTTCCTTAATGTGACGTCATTCCTTTTGAAAAAAAGTTGGTGGTGCTGGACATTAGATGGTGAGGGATCAGACTTTAAGGTGGGATAAGCAATTCAAATCCAGCACATGTCTTTTTGTCAAATTCAGCGAATATCTCCCCCTGGTATGTAACGTTGATGTTGCTTGGTTTGCATTAATAATGGTATATATTTAGACTTCAACTTCAATGCATTATTCACACTTTCAGCATCATGGACACCTCAGAAATACAGAAATAATCCAAACAGTTCCTTTAATTAAAAACAGAAAACATTTTTGTTGTTACATTTTTGCAAAAATTCACAGCAGGACTTCCTTAACCTTTCATTTGCTGCTGGTAAAGTAAAAATTGTGCCAACCAACCCAGGTTTCCCCAGAAGGTTTGTCTATATAATGACGTCTTACTAAATGGTTCAAAATGTTTTTTTGTATTAATTTGAATGGCCAGTTTAACTTATATCTAATAGTTATTAACAACAATTTGCAGAGCAAACAGCAGAAAACCTTAACACCAACCCAAAGCTGGGTCAAAGCTGCCACAGCAACAACAGGGAACTAATGCATGAGAACTGAAAGAGGTGAAGAGGGAGAGATGTGACCCACGACCAGTTCATCATAGTTTATAATAATGAATGACACAGACATTTCATAGAGAAGACAAGCGTATAACACGGATCTGTCTCTCTCACCCCTAGGGGTGCGTGAGCTGCCTATAGGGGGTGCATGACAGGAAAAATGTAATGGTGGTGTAATCGTGTAATAACTACAACAATTGTTTTTTGTGGAACTTTTCATGTAATAAAAACTTGAATTGAAAACTTTCTTTTGTAAATTTAATTTAAAATTAATAACATTATTAATAGTTAGCTCACTGGGAATGGCTACTCACATACCTCTTTCCCTCTCCCCTCCCTCTCTCTGTCAGATTGAGCCGCCCGCCCTGTACTTACAAATCCTCATTTGGATCCTCTCCTCCATGATATCTGTTTATGACGCTATAACAGGGTGTGATTTGTGAGAAAACAGAGGAGGGATGTTTTGAAATGTTTCTTTTGTCGTGAAAATAACCCCCCGCCTCCCTCCGCATGGTTCGGCAGGCAGGTGAACTGTGGATTGATTGCAAACAAGGTTAACCATCACAGTCTGAGAAAAAGTTTTACTGCCATTGTAACTTTTTAAAGTAGTAAATATAATATATAATATTACATCTCTATCAGTGAAAAGAGAGAGACAGAGAAGACGGATGCATGCTGTGTTTAAGTGCAGTGAGTGCGTCAGGGGAGAGCAACTGATTTAAAAGCCGTCACTTTCAAGAGTGTCACTGAGTGAAACCCCGTAGCTGTGACTTTGGGCATATTCACACTGGTGGAACAGGGACACTGTGCTGCTTGTCATCATAGAAACAGATCTTCAGATTTTGCTGTTTATTGCACCTTCAATAATATCGGCTGCTGTCTCTTCAACACACAGCTCCGCTGCTCTCTGGAGCGAAGTGTTGTTATATTGGCTATATGCCACGTGTAACCAATCAGATAGTGCTGTAGGCGGGACATTGAGCAAATAAATAACTTATATATAACATATATATATATACAAACCTAGAGAGAGAGTGGGTTTGGGGTGCAGAAACCTGGTCAAGATGTAGAAGGTGGTGAGTTGCCTAAAAAGTTTAACTTGGCTAAAGTTAGAGGAGATTATTAATATCACCCTTAGCTTAGCATATCACAAAGATTGTAAACTAGGAAACTTGCCAGGCTCTGTCCCAAAGTAACTAAATCCACCTACCAGTACCTAAGCTCACAAATTAACATGTTATATCTAAATCTATGCAAAAACCCAAATGTAAATATAACAGGCGTGGTTCTACGCTGGTACTATTTCTTGGCCATGCACAGTTTTGGACAGTGCCATGCTTTTTTAAAAGTCTTTATGCTAAGATAAGCTAACTGCTGGCTGTGGCTTCATTTTTACTGTACAGACATGAGTGGTATCGATCTTCCCATCTAACTCTCGGGAACAAAGCAAATAAGCATATTTTCCACAATGTCGACTTTGAACTCTTATCTTTAGATTAACTTTATATTAATCTGACACACTTCCAAACAGTGTTAAAAACTGTTCTGTTGCACAGAAGTGGATTTAAGTGAAAGGAACCACTAAACCCTTCAGTAGAAACACTCCCAAGCCAGACTCTATTTCCAAGTTCTTTGTGTGAGGCCCTCTTCATTGGCTAAAGGTGCTATAAATTACAGCTTTGGACATCCAGTTGTGATCGTTTTCTTATTGATCTTTTTGAGACCTTTGAAACAGCTGATCCCTCCTTACGTCTGTCCAGATTATCTCATATGTGGTAAGATTCTGCTGTTTGTTGATGGTTTCCCAATAGTTTGCAAAAGTAGCGGATGTTATGTAGTATCCATCCATTTTCTTCCACTTATCCAGTGTTTACAGATTAGAAGTAGGTACGTTAACAGATGTTTATACAAAGCTTCAGTGTTGTGGTGAAAGGAAGAGACTGTTGGGTTCATACAAAACACCTCTGATTGGTTGAGCTTGTTGGGGCAGCGCAGTTTACTCAGGAGACGATCTCGTTACAAGAAGAGGAATGAATGGCAGGGTTGTTCTCACCAGGAACCGAATTTCCCAGGTTTATTGTCCTTGTAGGAACTGCCTGGCAGGCGTTACTGAGGGAACAAAAGCATATAAAAGTAGAGCATTGCCATCTGGCTTGTTGAAAAGAAAGACCCATCTGCAGTGGATGATGACTGACCGTGGTTGCATAAAAATCCTTGTGTTGCTTCTAGGTTCCAAAGGTCAGAGGTCTCCTTCATGTTTAATTTGTTTGTGGACATTTCAGGGTTTGTTTCAAGGTTTGTTTAGATTAGATTGCAGCCACTTTGATATTGCTGGATATTCAGCTTTGTAGGCGAGACATAAACTCAGGAGCATCAGATAAAATGGCATCTACACTGAAACAAGCAGGTAGTATTTCTCAATAATAAGGCAGTCAAAATGGAGTTTAAATGTTTTTCCAGGAGTGATGGATTTAGTCAAATCCTCTAGCTGTCAATTTAAATATTAGTAAATATCTGTCAGATCCTAATTTTTAAGATGCTTTCTGAGGTTGTGTTGTTCTCTGTTGTGTGTCCAGTTTCAGAGCTCTCTATACCAGTGCCGTGGGGAGAGATCAGGGGTAAAGTCTGGGGTCCTGATTACGGTCGGCCTGTGCTGTGCCTGCACGGCTGGGCTGACAACTGTGGTACATTCAACACCCTCATTCCCCTTCTACCCAAAGGTAAACTACCACAGAGTGGAGGAAACAGTATTTTGATGTTTATTTTTATTTGCACATTAATCAACATTGCAAATAGACTTCAGTGTAAATGAACAGGAGTTAGCTAAATAGCACATTTTCATCCGTAATCCCTGAGCAGTTTGTAACTAATTAGAGCATATTAGTTGAGTGTGTTAGCATGCTAAAATTTGCTTATTAGCACTAAACACAACATACAGCTGAGGCTGATGGAAATGTTGTTAGTATTGCACAGAGGAGGATCACCAAAGTCTGTAGGATTCAATAGTTGCTGAGATATTTCAGTCTGAAACTAAGTGGTGGACTCACCAACCGACAATGCTGCTTACATAGCTGAATAAAAGAAACAACATCACAGGTGAGACAAAAGACTGACCCCTGTTGCGGCTGACACAACTCCAGGTTGATCCTGGTCGTTTCATCCCTCTGTCCTTCCTTTCAGAGTGCAGATATGTGGCGGTGGACATTGCAGGTCACGGTTTGTCCTCCCACCGTCCTGTCGGAGTTTTCTATTCATTTCCTGCATACGTGGCGGATGTACGCAGAATCGTTGACGGTGTGTGAATTTAAGTTTTAGTTTCACTCAGATCTCATTGTAGCGCGCAGACGGATCTCTTCAGGGCTCTGGTGCATGTCTTTGACAGTTAAGTACAGGAAGAAGTGAAAACTAGATTTAAGCTCATGTGGTGTTTTCTGTGAAATAACTCCCACAGATCTCCAGTGGACAAAATTCTCCATCATAGGCCACAGTATGGGTGAGTCCCACACTTACACTGTGCTGTTTCACACCTTCTAATATAAAACCTCTGTAAAGGTGTAAATGTAAATATTTATTTTCCTTTATTGGAACAAGCTTTGGTTATTTGAGATATCTTATTGGAAGCTTTGACTGTATGTTCACTCCCTTACAGGAGGTAACATCGCTGCAACGGTAACTAAGATTGATTACATGCAACCTCTCACTGTTTTCAGACAATATACAGAGAATATTTTGCTGTATTTTATTGCATTGTATCATATATAGTCTATATTGTTTTTCCCACAGTTCAGCGCACTGTATCCTGAGATGGTGGACGCCGTCGTCCTGCTGGACACTTCTGGATTTTTCCTTATAGATGTGGTACTTCAGTAGTTTATATTATCACTGCACTGATGAGCTTTTAAGGAAAGATGATCCAATAGTAACCACGTCCATGGAAATTAATGAAAAAGTATTGCTGCAGTATTATGATATTATTCATGTTCCACTCCTGTCAGTAGTTTTGACTTTGTCTTTTCCTGCAGACAGAAATGTCCAAACTGATGAGGCAGGGGATGGATGAGATGCTTCAGTTTGAAAAAAAGACAGAAGAGAAGAAAAGAGTTTACACATATGAGAAGGCAATTGAGAGGTACTATGCCAATGTTTAAAGTGGAACTCCACACATTATACACATCAAAGTTTGCCTGTTTACAGGTGTTGGGAAGTTAAACTGTATATGTAAAAAACAAAAGGTTGTATAAAGCTGGAATAACACACCAGATCTCTGAAGGAATAGTCAATGGTCAAGTTGCATTGTGGGTAATGCAAGTGTCAGGTTTTGACGACAAAGAAGAATATGTTGGGGGAAAAAAGATGATGCCTCTGATCACGCAGAAATAGAAAACAAGAAAATAAAATACAGCTATTTGATTTTTAGTGGTTGTGTCTATAGTCAGTCAATGCTTCATTTCTTTCAGGATGTTGACTGCAAACCCGACTCTGTCCAAACAGTCTGTGTGCATCCTTTTAGAGCGCGGCCTAGTTCAAGTTGAAGGAGGTACGTCTTTATCTCTTCTTCTCCTCTCAGAGAGGAATAATCTCACCTTGCTTCCTCTCATCTGCTGGCAGCTGAATGTGTTTCCCTTCAGCAGGTTTTGTGTTCTCCAGAGACCTGCGTGTTCATCTTGTAAGTCACTTTTAACCTAACAAACCTTCCCCCACATTCTCTCCTGCATCTCTGTTAACTTTTTACACCAGAGGTGTAATTTTGTTTCCAGAAAAACATGGCGCACATCAGTTTGGAGCAGAGTCTGGAGATGCAGTCGAGGATTCAAGCAGCTGTTCTTGTAGTTCTGTAAGATGTTAAACCCTTCACTGAAACTTGTGTTTACATTATAAACTTATAAATCACCAATAGTTTAATGTGCTTTAATACAATCAAAGTGCATCGTACGAAACTTGTAAAATCTCTGTTTTTCTAGAGCAAACAAAGGCTTCTCTTTGCCAGGATCAAACAGACAGAAACGCACCTTTGCACTTCTCCAAGGCTATTGTGACAGAAACGTGAGTTTTTTTAATGATTTATCCATTGTAGGGTAACCGGAGGCTGGGGGTTAAGCATTCAGAAGTGAAAGTATCCATGTGACGTTACTAAACTGCTTTCATGGTGTTTCTCATGTGTGACAAACCTGAATCACTCCGTACCAACTAGCTAAAACAAGCAATGTTACTGTTTTTTTGGCCAGGTGTGTGTGTATGTGTTGTTAAACAGCTGCACAGATCTAAAAGTAGCACCATCATAACACACTCAGTGTCAGAATAAGCAGATTGTAGAACTAAAGAGTTCACACACCAAATCAGATTCTGCATTTTTTTAAATTTGCAATGTCAGCATTTAGCAGGGGGGGGGATTTTAATGTATTTCACAGCAGACATTTTGGCTTGTCAAAGCAGGAAAAGCACAAGTGTCAATAATAACACTGTATATGACTGCACGCCATGTAAGTGAGCTATTTCCAGGACCCTGGTATCGTGCATGCTGGCTCACTGGCAGGGCTTGTGCTGCGTTCCAGTCAAAGTTTTAGGTCAGGATTTCCCAGGTGAAATTTCCAACTTTTGACCTCCAGGGTTTATGCGACGCATAAAGAAAAAACATGGCTGACCAACAAACTGATGTTTCTTTGTCAAGTGACATTTGAACTCTCAGCAATAATGTTTCCTTGAATCACTTTTGTGCAGAAAAGACTTTCAGAGATTGTTTACTGTAACCAGCCACGTAATAACATTGGAGGCATCAGCAGACTACCGGACCGTGTTTTTATTGTGTCACTCCAACCTCAAGACAGCGAAAACAAGGAAGGGCAAAACATTTGACCATGTATACACAAACATACTGGGAGCCTATAAAATGCATTAATCACCCCACCTTGAACAATCTCATCATCTAGCCCTCTTCTTGACTCCTTCGAACAAACCCCATATCAGTGGACCCAAGCATCCCATGAAGACTGTGCAAATCTGGACTGACGCACAATCACACTGGCATTACAGGACTGCTTCTCGGACACATAGTGGAAGCTTTTTTACCATTCAGGCATTGAGCACTACCCTTTAGCAGTGTTGGCATATATCAACTTCTGTATTGACACCGTCATTGTCAAAAAGAACATTAAGGTGTCCCCAAACCAGAAGCCCTGGTTCTACTGTAGCGTGTCAGTGCTACTTAAAGACAGAGATGCTGCACTCCAATCAGGTGACAGAGGACTACAGGAAATCTAGGGCAGACCTGAGAAGACGTATCAAAGATGCTAAACAAAAACACAAACAGCGCATTGAGGATGACTTTTAAGGAGAACAATCATTGTACTATGAGGCAAGGCATCAGTAAAATCACTGACTACAAACCAAATCACTATCTTCCCTCCCGGATCAACCCAACTCATTTTTTGCCCACTTTGAGGATAGTCCCAGTAAAGAACTACCCATGATCTTCATCTCACACGGAGGGGAGGAGCAACTCACACTCCACCAATATCAGGTCTGGCAGGTCCTGCAGAACAACAACATCGGAAAAGCAGCTGGTCCAGACAATGTCCCAGACCGCTTACTGCAGGCAAGTGCCAGCCAGCTAGCCGCGGTCTTTACAGATATTTATCAGTCCCTACGACAAGCCACGGTTCCTGCCTGTCTAAAAATTGCTCCCATTGTCCCTGTCCCTAAGAGTTCAGCAGTCACCAGTATAACTGATAACCAGCCCATTGCACTTACCCCAGTAATCATGAAATACTTTGAAAGGCTTATATTATCTAACATCAAGGCCTGCATCCCTCCCAGTCTGGACCGTCAGTTCGCCTACAAAGCTGATAGATCAACAGACAATGCTATTTAACTTGTACTCCATACTGGCCTTCCTCACTTAGAAAATTCCAACACCTATGCAGTGATGCTCTTTGATGCTCTCTTTGTTGACTTTAGTTCAGTTTTAATTCCATCAATCCAAGCAAATTAGTCAATAAGCTGCACTCACTAGGGCTAAACTCTTCCCTATGTCTGTGGATCAGACATAGTACACCCCAGCAAGTTAGAATAGGCAATTTCACCTCCTCCACTATCATCATCTATACTGGTACCCCACAGGGATGAGTCCACTCCTTTACTCACTCTTCACACATGACTGTACTCCCATCCCTAGTTCTAATTCAAATTTAAAATGTATTCAAATTTGCAGATGACACAGTCATAGTGTGACTAATCACCAACAACGAGGAATCAGTGAACTGAGAGGAGGTGGAGAGTCTAGTTGCATGGTGCAAAGTCAATGACCTGATTCTCAACACCAAGAAGACAAAGGAAAAGTAAGAGAGTCCAGCACACGTGAATACACATAAATGGGGAAAAGGTTGAGCGAGGGCCCAGTTTCAAATATGTTACTGTTAGTGCACTTATCTGAGGACCTGACCTGGAAAGTGAACAGAGCCCGCTTGGTAAAGAAGGCCCAGCAGCGCCTTTTCTTCCACACTGTGACACATAAAACTCTTCCGAGATCTCCTGAAAAACTTCTACCAATGTAAAGATGGTATGTCATTATATCCTGACATACTGCTGCACAGTGTGGTACTCAAGCTGGTCAGCAGAAGAATGGAAGGATTTCCAGAGGGTACTGAAGACTGCACAGCTCCCCTCTGAACCATATCCACTCTAGCCATCTCCTCAAACGTGCCAGGGACATCAACAGAGACCCCTCACATCCTGGTCATCATCTGTTTGCCAAACTTCCTTCTGGCAGGCTGAAGATCATTAGGACAGGGACAAACCGTCTAAAGAACAGCTTTTTCCCAAAAATTGCCTTCTGCTGAAAGTTTAGATGGCTTTCATGTGCGCATACTATCTGTGCCAATCTGTGAAGAATGCACACTGAAATGCACTTCATCAAGGAAGCTTGGCCGTGACCAGTTGGTTTTAAATATGAAATGCATGCACTATTTATTGCCATTACCTCATTTTTACAATGCTGTTATAGCCTATGCATTTTAATGTCTGTTTTATTGCTTGATTTTATTCTTTTATATTTTTATTGCTTATACATATATGCTATTTTAAAGCTGCCATATTCAACAGTTACCTCCAAACAGCATTTCATTGTATATTTATATACAATGACAATAAAAGTATCGATATCAGTCTATATGTTGACATCAATTTACATGCGTGTTTTACTATATGATATGGTTTTAATACAGGCAAATATTCTTTACTTTGCCCTTTAGTTGATGGTTTACCATTTACAATATGCGCGTCCATGGGTGCTGCCATTGTTGTGTTCTGTCAGACAACTGCTTCTTCATGAAGTTGCGGTAGATGGATGGTTGCCCCGAGTTTACAAGTAGGAACTCCGACTTTGAGTGGCTTTCCTTTGTACTTTTTCTAGTTGGAGGTTGGAAATTTTCGAGTTCTGAGTTGTCTGGAATGTAGCATTACTGGGACACTTAAGCCTAGTCCACATGTACACTGATTTTCCTCCATTTAAAAAAAAACCTTTGTCTGCATAAAAATGCAAAAACATGCTTTCAAGCGTTGTCGAGAGCATGCCAAACCACCAGGTGGCGATATGACTCTTACCATAAAGTCACTTTGGCCAATCAGAGACTGATAAAATGCATGTAAATTGATGTAGGAATATTTTGTCAAAGTTATAAGGTGGCTGGTTGCAGTAAACAATCTCTGAAAGTCATATTCTCTACCCAAAGGTTATTCAGGAAAATGTTAAAAATGACAAATTTAAAAAACATTTGGAAATATAGCCAACAACTTTTTCTGACTTTTGAGGATGCAGCTAGAAGGATACACAGTTAGCGAGTAGCCTAACGTATATTTATCACGTTTTTAATAAAATGGCCATCCTTTTAGTTTACACCAAGTGCACTGCTGAGGGTTTAACTTGCCAAAGAAACATAAGTTTGTCACGGTCAGCCATGTTTATTGTTTACATTTAGCGTCATGCACCAACATGCAACTTAAATGCACGAATGAGGGTGGAAGTCGAATATTTCAAGTTGGAAATTTCCCAGTTCTGACCGGTCTGGAATACGGCATTACTGTCTACACGGCAACACTGCAAACAGAGTTTCTTAAAATCCTCACCCTGGCAGGAGCTTTTAAAAGTGTTCAGTGTCAGTGACCTGATACCGCTTTTACGTGTGGACAAATGGCCAAACCGCATAGAAAAAGTCACGGTTTTGAAAATACCCATGTACATGTAGACAGGGCTTAATTGAACTGAGCCATAGTTAACAAAATTTGTTTCACCTGTGCTTTTCTTGCTATGACAAGTCTGCTGTGAGAAAGTCTGTAGTCCGTCAGTTTCACAAAACAATATACAGATTATACAAGCAAACAGATATTAACATGTGGGCTATATAGGCAATTCTAAAACAATTTCATACCAATATGGACAACAACAAAACAACCACATAATGAACAAATATATCTGTGGCTACACTACAATGTCAGTGAGGCTATCATGAGTCACTGTAGTTTGTGATAGCTTGATTTATACTCCTGCGTAGGGTCGATGCTCTACAAGCTGTTCGAAGAAAGGAGACTAGTCACACTCAACGTGCTGCAAATTGTATACTGAAGGATAGAATAAAGTATGTGCATCAGCTAAATGCTTCTGATTACAACTTCAATAATAAGAGATCAGTTGGAAGTGTTTAACAGTATTTATAGAGGTCAGCAGCAAGAAAGACTTTGGTGATTAGGTTAGGGTTAGGTGATAACATTTCATCTACATCAAGTATCTTCATTAAACATCAGCCCAGGAAGGCAGGAGATAACAATGAGCAATAAATAGACAGGGTAGTGATAGTAGAAAGGGATGTAATATTGATATATAAATCAGACTGTATAAAAATATATCTTTACATACAATATATATAAAGTAATCAACACAAAAAGCAAAATTTTACCAACACAGTAAGGAAGGCAAAACATGAGAGAAAAGATCTTCCTAAGTGAACTTTTGCCAAACGCTTAGTTTGTTGTTTTTGAAAACACATTGAATGAGAGAGTAGCATTTTCAACTTTTCCATGACTTTACTCAAATGTAAACATTATTATCTCTCTCTCAGCACACGGTGGTGATGGTATCAGGCGACCATCACGTCCATCTCAATAATCCTGAAGTCGTCGCTCCGTTTGTTTCTGACTTCCTGCGGGCCAAAGTGCTCGCACAGCTGCCAGCATTGTGGACACACACACACAAGTTATAACCAACACACACACACACAGAAATGTCTCACTTAAAGTCTCATCTCCCTGAGAGCAGTCATTCACAAATTACTGTTAGTGGACTTTTTTCAACCCTGATATGTTGAACAATGTTAGAAAGTTTCTTCAAGTTTTTGTCACATGCTCAACATAACTTTACATTGTTGCCCACCTCTGGTACTGTGCTTGAAGTAATCGAAAATATCAACACAAAAATACAATATATACAGCAAGATAGATAGAATATATCTTTAAGGGAACATCAAAGGCATAGTACAGGGATCCCTGAGCAAGACACTTACCTCCCACTTTGAAAACCTCTGGATTAGTGTATTAGGAGCCTTCAGATGGAACAGGTTCAGATGGCTTGAGTAATAATCATATCTAAATGTCCAAGGAAGGTTAAAATCAAGGGCAGTTAGACTTCAGTTTGTCATGCATATCTCATCCGAGGGGCTTCTTAATTTCTGACAGACTGGTAGGGAATCCCTGCATTTTAAGCTCTGTGGGGTCGTTATCAAGGTGATGGATACCGCTTCATACTGCAGTCGTTGTGGTTGTTGGAGTCACGTGAGGCCAAGTTTGAACGACTGTCGTCGAACGGGTGTTTGTTCACTCTCCTGGGAATGGAAGAAAGGACAGCATTGTAAGTGGGAGATAAGTGGTCTCTTAGCCCTCAGTGGTCTCTCTATTTTAATGTAAATGGCCTCTTTCACACATTTTTCAAACCATCTGTCCTCCCGGTCTAAAATATGTACCTTGTTGTCACTGAGAGAGTGTCCCTTGTCTTTCAAATGTAGGTAAATGGCTGACGCCCTATCCACACTACTTTTAAAGTTTTAAAACAAATACAATCTACATTAACACCAGCTTTTAGCTGCGTATCAGAGTTGATCTCTGTCTATATCTAGTGGCTGTTCATATACACTAGACATGCGCGTGCCGGTGTAAACATGTAGCAGATGGTCTATTCCGTAGTTACAGAAGATTTGGCGAAAGAATAAAGAAATACAGACGAAGAACCACACCTGATTTTTTTTTTTTGCATGGACCAATAATAGGCTGGAACTGTTACTGAATGTAACACGGGAGTTAAAAGTGACTGTGGCGGCAGAAAACAGACTGGGAGTCATCGCAAAGAAGGCTAAACGGCAACATGCATGGTACAGGTGTAGACTATACAGTGGTGTTCCTGATTTCTTTTTCTTTTTTTCTGCTTTTACTGAAAAGTTTTGGATCATCAAACCAATTAAAATATTAGACAAAAACAACACAAGGAAACACAAAATGCAGTTTTTAAATGAAATTAAATGAATTTATTATTAAGGGGAAAAAATCCAAACCTACATGGCCCTGTGTGAAAAAGTGACCCCTGTTAAAACATAAATCAACTGTGGTTTATCACATCTTTGGAAAGCTGAGTTCAAATTTCTCTAGCCACACCCAGGCCTGATTACTGCCACCCCTGTTCTTAATCAAGAAATCACTTAAATAGGACCTGCCTGACAAAGTGAAGTAGACCAAAAGATCCTCAAACGCTAGACATCATGCTGCGATCCAAAGAAATTCAGGAACAAATGAGAAAAAGAGTAATTGAGATTTATCAGTCTGGAAAAAGTTTTAAATCCATTTCTAAAGCTTTTGGACTCCAGCGAACCACAGTGAGATTCATTATCTACAAATAGCGAAAAAAATGGAATAGTGGTGAATACTCCCAGGAGTGGCTGGCCGACCAAAATTACCCCAAGAGTGCAGTGACAACTCATCCAAGAGGTCACAAAAAACCCACAACAACATATAAAGAACTGCAGGCTTCACTTGCCACAGTTAAGGTCAGTGTTCATGACTCCACCATAAGAAAGAGACTGGGCAAAAATGGCCTGCATGGCAGAGTTCCAAGACGAAAACCACTGCTGAGCAAAAACAACATAAAGGCTCGTCTCAGATTTGCCAGAAAACATCTTGATGATCCCCTAGACTTTTGGGAAAATACTCTGACTGATGAGACAAAAGTTGAACTTTTTGGGTGGTGTGTGTCCCATTATATCTGGCGTAAAAGTAACAGCATTTCAGAAAAGGAAGATCATACCAACAGTAAAATATGGTGGTGGTAGCGTGATGGTCTAGGGCTGTTTTTGCTACTTCAATACCTGGAAGACTTACTGTGGTAAATGGAACCATGAATTCTGCTGTCTACCAAAATATGCTGAAGGAGAATGTCTGGCCATCTGTTCATGACCTCAAGCTGATGATTGTGGTTTTCACTTCATAAGTTCATGTTTTTTACTACTTTTGTTTCTTCAGTCATCAAGTGCACGTCTCAACAAAGTGTGATGTATGTTATTTTACAATGTTGTAAGCAGATCTGAGTCAAATCAGCTTCACCTTTCAAGACAGAAAAATATATGTAAAAGCTCCAAACTGAATAAAATCCTACAATCCTGTTAAAATAAAATGTTATTTCTTCATGTAGCCTGTTCAGGTAGGACGTGTCATGTCATCATTTCTGTTTTCAAACATCAGAGCTTTTCATTAGGAGCTGATCTGTTTAACTCGGCTGCTTTTCATGAATCTGATGTTTGTGCAGAATGTGCTAAAAATGGCAGTCATTACAAGAGATGACATCCTCTGACAACTTTTCATTATGTAGGCCATCTTCTCTGTATTTAGCTTTTGTCTTAGTTTTTATTTTGTCTTGCTGGTTCCAACTATCTTTTTTCCACCGTTTTACTCAAGGGAGTGACTCCATAAAACACTGCAGCTGCAGTCAGTCAGAGCAGATATGAGGGGTGCAGCTCACACCACAAATGGTGCCCTCTCTCTCAATGTCACATAAACTGTGGGATGGCCTTGGTGTTAAATGGAGGGGAACTGATTTTACGCAGCAAGCAGAAAGGCGGTGAGCATCGAGAGGCATCTGAAGGGCTTGTCCTCCCCCACCCCTCAAATCCCCCCCCCCCAAAAAAGATTATAGTTATATAAGTTTTCCTCCCACTCCCTCCATCCTCCCTGCCACCAGCAGGGGTGTTGTCATGGCAACCCCCACCCCTCCTCTGAACGTCAGAGCCAGGAGCTGGAGAATGAAGCCGCATGCAGCTTCTGTCTCTTGTGCCTCTCGGAGAGCACCTGTGTTTTTTGCCATCTCGCATGCAACAGTCGGAGCTGCCGTGCTGGAGATAGTCTAATGAAAGATTTGACTCTTAGTTGCAGCACGTCGCATACAATCAAACGCATAAAGACCGACTGATTCAGCAGCGTTAGCAGGTAAGCACAATGGCTTTATTTACTACCACAGCACTATTTTTAGAATGCACCACCTGTGTGTGTTTGCAAATGAAAAATCTGTCTGATAGTAGCAATGACAGACAGCGTGCTGTCTGCTGGAAGCTGGCTGTGTAATGCCTTGATTCCTATGCCCCATCCTACATCTGTCAGAGCATGAAGGCTTTCTAAGGAATGATACCGAGATGCTGCAGTTAGTCATGCGTGATATCTCATCCTTTGGAGAGTAGGCTACAGAGAATGTATGCGAGGATTACTTTCAAATAACAGGGTAACTCTGCTTGTCCACCCTTCCCCAAAATCTCTCCTCTCGCTTCGTTCCCTTGCTCTGTCATGTCTTTTCCTCCCATGTCTCCTCCACCCTTACCATCCCTTCACTCTCACAGCAGTGATGTCGTGGCTGTTCCTGGACTGGTTCGTGCCCCTGTACCTGCTGGTGTCGGTTTTGGTGCTGGCAGGCTTCGGAGCATGCCTGTACTTCCTAGAGCCCGGGCTGCAAGAAGCCCACAAGTGGAGCAACAAAACAGTCCGGCATCACCCGCTAGTGGCCAGTGTGAACTGCAGAGATGATGATAGCAATGCCCTGATATGATCAAGAGGATGAGGAGGAGCAGGGCGAGGCGGGCGGCATGCCATCTGGACAGGGGCGCTGCCAGGACACCAGTGGGAGCCAACACCTTAAAGATGGAGAAAGAAAATGGTAGAGAGAGATGGAGGAGAGAGAATTTGATGAAGCAAGCCCTGTCCTGTCATTCCAACTTTTCTCTGATCTCTAACATACTTTTGCTGTAAAGATCAGGGAAAAGGGTTTTTGACTTGAAATGAAGTCAAATGCACAAGGAGGAGAAGATTACGTGCAAGCGGTTGGAGGACATGTTGCCCCGTAGAAATGTGTGATGTAAATTTCATGCCATCTTATACTTGTGCCAACTTTTACATACGTTTTGTAATTCGACAATCACTTCACACGTATCATCAAGTTCACTTATATTGTGCATTTAATTAGTGATGTGAATGACATATGTGCAATGTATGTGCTGCCAGCGAGGAGAGTTTTTAATCCTCTCTCTCTGTGGTGATGTGGCCAAGGCAGCTGCTGAGAAGCATGTGGATTGTTAGTGCCATTGTGCCAAAATGGTGTAGTAGTGACTTTATTCAAATAGTATGTTCTGAATAAATGCAGCTGATTTATTCACGGTGCCAAGATTATCCTGGACGGACCAAGATATTATAAAATAATAGTATTTGGTAATGCTCAAAGTGTATATATTTTTTGTTTTCATTGTTTTTACTTGACAGCATGGTGAGGAAACTGTGGGTGTGTAACAACCCTCTTTTGATGACCATATGCTTCCTGTCGTCATACAAAATAAAACAGTTTAATCCTAAATTTTTTGTATTTACTCTCTGCATGTTGATCATATTTGAGTAAAATAGTATTTAAGATTTGTGTAGTGTGGTAGGAAGTAACGAAGTACATTTACTCAAGGGTACTGTACTATAAGTTTCAGGTACTTGCACTTTACCGGAGTTTTTTCCCCTCATGCCACTTTATAATTTTACCTAATAAAAGTACTTAGTAGTTACTAAGTTAACTTTTCTAATTTCTAAGATTTTATATTAAAAACATATGATAAGCCAACATAAAGATAGTGTGTGTATATATGTTCAATATTTCACAAAAAGCAATGATAGAACATTGTTTACTTTACATTTTGCTGATAAAACTTACGGTATGTACTTTTACTTAAGTAAAGGACCTGAGTACTTCTTCCACCACTGATGTCTACTGTAATCAGACAAGCTACTAAGACCACATTCAGCCTTCACAGACAGTCTCCCATGAACCAAACAAAATGAGAGACCAGAGTGGGAGTGAAACAGTGCAGCTTCAGTGTTGAGGAATGGAGAGAATGGCACTTCTGAGCCCACTACTTCCTACTGCTGTGTTCCCCATCTCGCACTCTCTGACTTATTTAATATTGTCAACATTGGAGACAGAGCTTCAGACAGCAGGTTTGTGTCTGTTTTCCTCTATTGTGACTTTAAAATTGTGCATATTCATTGTAAAGATGTGTTATGTAGTGGAATTTAGTGTTAGTGGAGAGCAGTCATATGGTTTCAGGTTGCAGTGTTGTGCAGTGCAGTAACTTGGTCCATTTACATAAGTGCTTTTTACAACTATGTTTATGGAATTTAAAGAATATGATGCATTGTTGTGGATCAAACTACCCAACAGTACATAAAGTAGATCAAATTGGCTGCACCTCAGTAAAAAGCTACCAACTACTACTAATAATGCATTAATATTAACAGTCTAATAATATTGAATATGACTCTTAGGGGGCATTTTGCAGATATTTCTGTACTTAAGCTCAATATTTTAAATGTCAGCTATATGTCATCAACCTGATTTTCCTTAATTTCTCCACTCCTATCAATTGAATCAGTCTTTCTCTTCACCTCTTTCCTCACAACTTGTGTAAAACAGAATGAGTGTTTCTGACCGCCTGGCATCTTTGATCCCTCAAGTATCTGCATCCTCTAGACAAACAAAAGAACGTCCATCTGTCTGCTTGTCACCTCCTCTCTCCCTCTCTTCCCCTCTCATCAAGAAGAAACCCATTCAGATTCCATCATTTGACAAAAAGGGACTCATCTATGAAAACACAAAACAGACAAACGCTGACAGGTAAATGAAGCTGTAGCTTGTGTTGTAGCTCAGTTTTATGTGATGTAATGTAGTAAATTCATTTAAAAGTTTTTTCTTCCCTCTTTTGGCTCCAGATCTTTTGTTCCAATTTCACAGAGGAACCATAGAGAAAGAGCTTCAACCCTCCCAAGAACCAGACCCAAAACATATAGCTCTCCAACTCTCCCAGCAAAGTCCAGCATCTCCATTGTTCCTGCTCCAAAGCCAAATTCCTCTCCCACTCTCTCCACTCTGAAACCAAAGCCAAGTGATTCCCTTCATCTCCCCGCCTCACATTTGAGTGATCCTTCTCCATTACTGCATCAGCCGAAGCCGAAGCCAAGTGTATCTCCAACTTTGACTGTCCCGACACCCAGACTGAGTCCATCTCCAACCTCTCTGTCCAGAGGGATGAGTTTGGACAGTCGAGGAGACAAGCAGTGTTCTCCTGTTGCTACAGAAAGGCGTGCTAGATCGATTACCATATCGAACACTAAAGTTGAGGTTGAGTCCAGCAAACAGGGGCCTTCAAATGGGGCAAAGCGTGACATTCTTGACCAAGCAGCTTTACTGGAATTTACTCATCCTGCGTTGAGAAGAGCTTGTCCCATGACGTGCAGAGAGTCTCAACATCAGACTTACTCTGAGTCCCAGAGGCAAGTGGCCACATCTCAAAGCAAAGTTGGTTTAAGTAAAAAAGAAAATACTGCAAAAGAAAAACCAAAGCCTCCGCCTAGGAATATAGACATAACTGCAATCCCTAGACCAAAGCCAAACATGAAACAACGGCAGGAATTTCTGCCAAGTGGATCGACATGCACACAAACATCTCTCTCAGAGTCTGAGGGGATTAAGTTTGGTAATGTTGTTCAAAGAGAAGCTCAGTCTGTATTTGATGGACTGGCTACTCAGTTGAGCCTTCACAGGAAATGCATAGACCACCCTCAGAGTATGAAGTACAATCATACTGCAGGATTTGCCTCCAATGACCGATCATATGAAATAATTTATTCTGAGAGAAGTGCAGCTTTGCCAGTGACTTCCAAAATGTTGGTTTCCACAGAGCAGTCAACTGTCTCGCCCAATATTGAGACCAGGAGACGACAATTTGGCTTCAACAATGTGGACACAACCTTTCCATCAGGCTCTTATCTTAGTAGACCTCAGGAAGAAAACAATATACGAACGATTACAGGAAATTCATCTAAACTCTGTCAACAAACCAGTGCATCTCAAAACACCAAGTCTCCTCAGAACTACAGATTCTGGTCGAATGCTCAGTGTCAACCCCCCCAGATGGATGTGAAGAGGGCAGTAAGTCAGCCCAACTGTGTTTCAAAGGATCACAGCTGCCAGTCAAGAGACATCGATCGGGAAATGGAGGCTCCTCAGTGTGCAGAAAGGATAAATCAACTCAAGACATGTCTGGTGGCACCGCACACAAAGGAGGCTTCTGTTGAGTACACCACAGGGCCAGCTACGTTTTCAAAACCTGATATTATATCATACAAACATCAGTTTGATCACAAACAGTGTCCTGGGCCAAATAAAAGCCACAAAGAGGTGAACCTCAGTGACATAGGACTAAATCAGAAAGATATTTTTGCACCCTCTGACCGTCATGGGGTGCCCACAAAGCCACCAGAATATCCCTCAGAGAAATGCGTTGTAAGCTGGCCACCATCTGTGGCACACTGCCCATTCAGCACAAACAGTTTTGGCATCAGTTCAAAGGGGGTCTTTGACCTGCCGTCCCAGCCACAGCACAGAGTGTACCAGAGACCAGACGTGACAACAACAACAACAGCTTCCCTTCTACTACACCAACTGAATTACTCTCCAGCAGACAGAGCATTTATGGAGGAACCAGAGGACCCTTATTACGTCACCATGTATTACCCGGGTTCAGTGTACGTGGGTGAGTACAGAGATATCCAAAATACTTAGAAGACTTTAGCTGAACAAATTCCTCAAAGCACACATGACAGGGACTCTTTCATCTCTTGTTTTTAATCTATGTAGGGAGTTAAATAATTTTCTAGCTAAGGGGGCGGGAACTCACACTAGGGGGGAGTCGGGCAGGACAGCAATGATATTTAAGACGTTGCTCCTTATCAGTAGAGTGACAGACATGCTGAAGAGAGAGATGACAGCTGGTTGGAAAGGAAAGCAAAAGAAGGACGGAGGGAGGGCAACTCAGTGATAAAGTGTGAGTACTATGACACAGCTAAGGTTCTACTTTAAAGAATAATTATACTAAACAATATAACAACAAATAGTGTGTAATTACTGCTGGTTATAGCTACCCATGCACATCCTGTGGTAATATTACAAGATAGAGATTTAAAAAACACTACTAAGTATGAATAAGGTGTCTTGATCTCCATAATAAGTTTCATAGGTGTGTAAATTAGCTCTAAATAGCTTATGTAGGCTAATGGTAATACAGTTATATAATATAATAATGACAGGGGCCATTCTTCCTCTACAATGAGTACTATAACTTTTGATAGTTTAAGTACAGTCGGCGATAAAACTTATGCACTTTTACTTACATTTACATTAAAGTACTTTTACTTTTTAAAGTAAAGGATCTGAATTCTTCTTCCACCACTGCTTTCGTAAAAGATCTCAGTACATCTTCCACCACCCTATGTCACCATATGGGAGAATTTTTACATTTTGAAAACGTTTACATTTTAGATAAGATAAAATAAGATAAACTTTTATCCCCAGAGGGAAATTTGTTTCGGGTATCAGTGTTGTGCAATGCTGCAGTAACAAACAATAACTACATATGGACTTCACAAACTCACACATAATACAAACTGTTCCACACATTTACAGTGCACACGTATGTGAGGCATTACCAACTATCTGTAATTGATGACTGAATCAATTGAAACCTGAGTAATGCTAAAAACAACTGAGTGGTTATGTTGAGTTGCACTTGATGCTCTTAAAAATCGACCAATAAAACAAACAATTAAATTAAAATGATGGCCCACTGAAGATGAAAGGTTTGATTAGAGATCAAACTGGATTTATTTAGTCTCATTATAATGCAAATCCAAAATGTTCCCTAAGAATAGTCTGCATCACTGGCAGACTGGCAGACACTGTACCAAAGTGGGTAAATAATGCGCATGCGCGCTGCATCTCCCCACTCCCTCTCCTCTTGTCGCCTTGGTAACGGAAAAGGGGGGCTCACGGCCGGGGGAACGGAGAGGAGAGGTACCCAGATTAATCACATGACCGGTCCTCGTCTTATTATCTCTGCGTGTGGATATACATCGTTTGTTCTTGGACCCAGAGCGACTAACAGATCAGCCCGTCTTCTTCTCTAGCAGATTTGCAGGTCAGTTGAATGTGAATCGCTAAGTATGACGCTGCATGAGCGCTACGCGAGCCGACCGTTAGCAGTGCCGTTGCTAGCAGCTAACAGCCGCTAGCTGTTACCGTCATTATCCAGCATGACTGGAGAGAGACAATGGGGTCGACAGGCTGTGATGGAGCTAACCTCGTGTGATGTATTAAAACTGAGAAAGTATGGCTTAAATATGGAGACATAAAGCGTGGTCATTAACACGTTATTTAAAAAAAAAACAAAAATAAGGTTTTTTTTAAGCAACTAAGGAAACAGGTCGGAGCTTTCATGTCAGCCGAGCATCATCATCTATCGTATGTTTCAGTCTACTAGTGTGATTTCCCAGCAGTATTTAACGTGAGCTTAGACTTAATACTGAAATAAAACAGGGGATATTATATGTGAAGGCGACGAGGAGCAAGAGGGCGGTCAGGCTCCATGACTTCTGAGTGTTGCGATTCAAAGTGACAGCCACTGCCTCAGTGACCTGTGTGATCTGGATCTGCGACTGTGGCCTCGCTGATTCACAGCACGGCAGCAGGCTGCTCCATGTGTACAGCCCGGAGGGCTGAGGTTATCAACATCTTGGCTCAACCTTGTTACCATCTGCCTGCACCATTTGCTTCATTTAAAGGGATCCCTTCACAGAAACATTTCCTTATTGACGTATGCAGACAGTTTTTTTTTACCCACATTTTGAGATTTAGTATCCATTTCTGCTGCCACCCTGATACAACAGAGGTGAATATCGCGATATTTTACGTGGCAATATTGAATCAATATCACAGACGCCAAGGATTGATCTTTTATTATATAAATTTTACATGAGAAGTTCACCTTTTTGTACTATAATAATAAAATCAATTGCTTTTTTAGTCCGCTAGAAAAATAGTTTTCCTTTGGAGACACAATTTGAAGTTGGAAAAAAGGTAATAAATTGCAAAATATCGCAATATGTTTAAAATTGCAATAATATCGTATCGTGACATAAGTGTCGTGATAATATATCGTGGGGCCTCTGGTGATTCCCACTACTAGTGAATACCCCATCCCATATGCCATGACAATTGCCAGAGTCCATTGTAATGTCCTAAAATGTCTTGTTTTGTCTGACAAAAACCCAGATAGAAGATATTCAGTTTACTATCATAGTAGACTAAGAAACATTCCTATTTGAGAAGCCGAAACCTGAGAAGTTTGGCATTGTTTTTTTATAACAGGGTTAGGGATGTGACCAACAGGCCGATATGTCCTTAACATTTTGCCTCTGAAAAACAAATTTAGTCTTGCTCTCTGGTGGACAAACGATGTAAAGATGACACTGTTTATTAAATAACTTAATCTTTTGCATTTCTGTACTGCAGTTCTTGTCATCAGCCACTGACACAGTATATATCTGCCGATAAATCACCTGGCCTATGTATCATTTAACTTAAGCTTAAAAAGATAAAGTGTAAAACACTAATATACAGTGGGTACGGAAAGTATTCAGACCCCTTTAAATTTTTCACTCTTTGTTTCATTCAAAAATCAAAAAGTTCATTTTATTTCTCAGTAATGTACACTCAGCACCCCATCTTGACAGAAAAAAACAGAAATGTAGAAATTTTTGCAAATTTATTAAAAAAGAAAAACTGAAATATCACATGGTCATAAGTATTCAGACACTTTGCTCAGTATTTAGTAGAAGCACCCTTTTGATCTAATACAGCCATGAGTCGTTTTGGGAAAGATGCAACAAGTTTTTCACATCTGGATTTGGGTATCCTCTGCCATTCCTCCTTGCAGATCCTCTCTAGTTCTGTCAGGTTGGATGGTAAACGTTGGTGGACAGCCATTTTCAGGTCTCTCCAGAGATGCTCAATTGGGTTTAAGTCAGGGCTCTGGCTGGGCCATTCAAGAACAGCCACGGAGTTGTTGTGAAGCCACTCCTTCGTTATTTTAGCGGTCTGCTTAGGGTCATTGTCTTGTTGGAAGGTAAACCTTCGGCCCAGTTTGAGGTCCAGAGCACTCTAGAAAAGGTTTTCGTCCAGGATATCCCTGTACTTGTACGCATTCATCTTTCCCTCGATTGCAACCAGTCGTCCTGTCCCTGCAGCTGAAAAACACTCCCACAGCATGATGCTGCCACCACCATGCTTCACTGTTGAGACTGTATTGGACAGGTGATGAGCAGTGCCTGGTTTTCTCCACACATACCGCTTAGAATTAAGGCCAAAAAGTTCTATCTTGGTCTCATCAGACCAGAGGATCTTATTTATCACCATCTTGGAGTCCTTCAGGTGTTTTTTTAGCAAACTCCATGCGGGCTTTCATGTGTCTTGCACTGAGGAGAGGCTTCCGTCGGGCCACTCTGCCATAAAGCCCCGACTGGTGGATTGCTGCAGTGATGGTTGACTTACTACAACTTTCTCCCATCTCCCGACTGCATCTCTGGAGCTGAGCCACAGTGACCTTTGGGTTCTTCTTTACCTCTCTCACCAAGGCTCTTCTCCCCCGATAGCTCAGTTTGGCCGGACGGCCAGCTCTAGGAAGGGTTCTGGTCGTCCCAAACGTCTTCCATTTGAGGATTATGGAGGCCACTGTGCTCTTAGGAACCTTAAGTGCAGCAGAAATTTTTTTGTAACCTTGGCCAGATCTGTGCCTTGCCACAATTCTGTCTCTGAGCTCTTCAGGCAGTTCCTTTGACCTCATGATTCTCATTTGCTCTGACATGCACTGTGAGCTGTAAGGTCTTATATAGACAGGTGTGTGGCTTTCCTAATCAAGTCCAATCAGTATAATCAAACACAGCTGGACTCAAATGAAGGTGTAGAACCATCTCAAGGATGATCAGAAGAAATAGACAGCACCTGAGTTAAATATGAGTGTCACGGCAAAGGGTCTGAATACTTATGACCATGTGATATTTCAGTTTTTCTTTTTTAATAAATTTGCAAAAATTTCTACATTTCTGTTTTTTTCTGTCAAGATGGGGTGCTGAGTGTACATTACTGAGAAATAAAATGAACTTTTTTGATTTTTGAATGAAACAAAGAGTGAAAAATTTAAAGGGGTCTGAATACTTTCCGTACCCACTGTATACTAGCGATTGCTGTGGCCTTAAAATTGAGTTGGTGGCCCGCCACACCTAAATGAATGTAACTGATTGTCAGGGTTTCGTGAGTGAGCGCAGAGGAGGTGAGCCCAAACGCAAGACACTGGAGCAGAGACTTAGTTCAGGGTTTTTTAATCCAAATGTCAACAGGTAAACAGGCAGTTGACTGGAAGAACCACACAGGAAGACTCTACCAGACGAACATGACTGAGTGTAACACACTACAATGACCGGACAGGGAATGAACAGAAACACCAAACATTTACACACAGGGACTAACGAGCAGGGCGGGAGCAACACAGGTGACCGGGATCAGGGCTAATGAGGCAGGCAGAGAAACAGCATGGAAAACAGAGAGACACTTAAAGATGCAAAACACAACACCATACATTAACTGGAACTGGAGCAAGCAGAGGAATTACTGGGGGAACAGAAACAAGCAAACAGATCAAATAAACTAACACAAACAAGGAAAACAGACATGGGTAAAACAACAACCTACACACAAGTAACACTAAGACATGAAACCAAAACACAGTAAACTAGACAAAACAGGCAAGACAGCACCCCAAAATACAACAGACCAAAATAACAGATAAACTGACCAAATCTCAGAGTGCAAACTAGACATGGCTGACAGGCAAAATGTGACACTGATAGTGGAAATATTGGATTTTATAATGGCATTTATGATAAAAAATGTATTTAATGTTAATCTCTGAGATCTGGGCGATACCCAATTTGCATAATAAGATTAATATATGCACCAGTAACATTTCTATTCAACCAGTCTCTTTTCACAATGTCACTGTTATTCTGGAGACAAATATCTTAAAACCAAAACTCCCTGCATGGCTAGATATATTTTAGTCATTTGGGTGAACCAACCCTTTAAGACTAGCCTGCTAAAAGCAAGGAGAAACCTCAGCCAGCTCTACTGGCCTACTTCTTAATGATGTGGCAGTATTCTCTGTTAATAAAAATTTGTATTTTTCCTCTGTAGACATGTCAGACGTCGTTCCTCCAGAAGTGAGACCCAAACCGGCCGTCCCTGCCAAGCCCCCAAATGTGGGGGCTCCTTCCCCCTCCAGCCCCTTCCCGCCCCAGGGTCCGGGCATCGGAGGAGGAGGCGGCGTTTCTGCTCTTCCTCCAAGTGCCATACCAGTCCCCATCGGTAATCATGGCCCGGGGTACATTGGCAGTCATAGTGTGGGTCATGGTGTGGGCCACGTTGCAGGCCATGGTGGGGGTCACACTGCAGCACACAATGGAGGTCATGGTCACGGCGGCTCCCTCAGCTCCAGCGGTGGATCCACTTTGCTAGGATACATTGGTATTGACACTATCATTGAGCAGATGAGGAAGAAGACCATGAAGACAGGCTTTGACTTTAATATCATGGCTGTCGGTAAGTCACAGAAGCCTGTGTAAGTGTAAACCTCTAAAGTGGATTGTTATACAGACAACAGCACCTGGAAAATATCTTCAGAGATTCTGAATTAGTTTTTTTTATCTCTGATTTTTGTTCTTGGTAAAAATTAAAGCTAATCTAAATTCTTCCCTCATAGCTGAACACTTTCTGCCTCTCTTTTTCATTCATCATTTTATGTCCTCTTGGGCCTTGTTCATTACATTTCCCCCTCTTTCCCTCTCGTCTCAGGTCACAGCGGTCTCGGAAAGTCCACTCTGGTGAACACTCTATTCAAGTCCCAGGTGAGCAGGAAGAGCGCAGGGTGGGGCCGTGATGAGAAGATCCCTAAAACTGTAGAGATCAAAGCAGTGTCTCATGGTGAGTAGAGGGAGAGAGCTTCCGTTCTTTCTTTAGAGCCAAACATTTATAGCAGCATTTAATTTGACAAGGAAAATTAACGATCATTGACCATGTTCTTAAAAGTCTCATATAGCCTACTTACAGTATATCAGTGCAGCCTGGTAGATGCCAAGTGAGCTTGCGATCTATTTTAGTTGAGCTAAAAATGCACGGGCCAAGTTCTGCAGGTACTTTGTGTGAGAGGCTGTGATCATATTTATGTGCTGTCCATTTCATCATAGCTGATAGTTTGCTCAAAATTAATGTGAATAATTTTTCCAACTATACACATTTCTCTGGAATAATTATACCACATATCATATAAACAATCTGTGTGGAAACCTGCCTGTTTTGGTGGACAGATCACTGACAGACGACAGATTGGTCAAGAATCAGATATCTAGATTTTGTTGATAATCTGGACTTCTGCTTTGTGTTATATGTGCTAGTGTAAATTCAGTCATGTTGGATTTCCAGGTAAAGTTTACTGCAGGCCACAACAAGCTGAAAGGAGCAGGTGACAGGAATACTTGGGCCACTAAAGAGATGGCCACATTAAGAGGACGAGATGTCGCTTTCCTGATGATGCATCGATAGACATGTTAATAGATTATATTTATCATTTAACAAAATACAAAGAGAGTGACCAGAAGAAAAATCTAAATTAAATCAATATTTGGTGTGAGCACCATTTGCCTTCAAAACAGCATCAATTCTAGGTACACTTGCACAAAGTTTTTGAAGGAACTCAGAAAGTAGGTTGGTCCAAGCATCTTGGAGAACAACCCACAGTTCTTCTGTGGATTCAGGCAGCCTCAGTTGCTTCTCTCTCTTCATGTAATCCCAGACAGACTCGATAATGTTGAGATCAGGGCTCTGGGGGCCACACCATCACTTCCAGCACTGGGTTGCACCAACTATGTGTACAAAGTAAGTTCATACTTAGCCTAGTTTGAACGTAATTTCCAACTTAAGTCGGAGTTTACGTGCTACTAACGTTTTAAGGGTTGCACCAGCTGAAATACGTCCAACGTAGACAAAAGTTACAACTTAAATCTTACACCTAGTCCTTAATAGGTGTAAAATCCTCCATAAAATAGTCGAGTGGTTGACATGGCGCATTGTTCTGAAATGTGGGTTAACTGGGATCAGGAGGAGCAAATTATACCGGGCTCTTCTGCGTAACCGAGCGCACACAGCCTGGATGACAGCTCATTTCGGTTAATGAAGCAAAATGCAGATCACAGACTGGTTAAGTTATGAAGGTATGAATTGAAAATGTAGCGAAATTTAAAGTAGAATACTGGCCCAAAGAAAATACTGGAGTAAAGAGTAAAAATATAAATAATAAAGGAATGTGAAAAGGCAATTACTTATTTTATTTTATTTATTTAGCTCATTTGCGGTACTTGTAACAAGTTACTACCCTCCCTGCTGCAGGCGCACCTCACTGCTGTCTTCAGGTAGGCTGTAAGTAACAGCAGCACAAAAAGGTTTGCAATATTGAGGCACTTTGCTGCACCTGCCTCCAGCAAACTCTTATTTTTTCTCCCTTAACTTTTCAGCACCACCTTTGCATTGTGTCGGATGTTTTCTATAGGCCTAGGCTACATGATTTTTGTCTGCATTTCTACCGTTTAATTATGTCTGATGCAGAGTGTGTGATTGATTGATTGACTAGTCACTCACAGTTAACCTTCTCGGCTAGCCAACTCCAAAATTGCCGGTGAAAAGTGGGGGGGGGGACAAAACATTCATTTTCTGAGACATGTCTTACGCTTATGTAATGTTACAATTTCATCTGCCAGTTATACGGTACCGTTCCTTACGGGTACCATAAATTACGCCTATGTTGTAGTTAACGGTTTTAACACTTGATGTCACTGTTGGACTAGCTGTAGATTAAGGTTTCATAGTTATCAGCTAATCATAATTCTTTGTCCTTGTTTACCCTTTTTGTTGGTGTTTTGTTGCTATTTTTAGCCTCTTCAGTATTGCAAAACGTTGAGAGAGAGAGAGAGACAAACACACAACAAAACCGTAATAAACTCTCTGTCTCTCCTCTTCTGAAGGAGAATCAGATGGGGGAGAGATAACTGCAGGCATGAGTGCGTAAGTCTGTGTGCATGTGAGAGAGAGAGAAAGAGAGGGATGGATGTGTAAACATCATTTTCTGCGACAATATTTTGATTAGTATGGAGTTTGGCCAGAGTAGCTAAGATGAACATTACTTCTGGGTGGTGCAACCAAACATCGACACAGCTTAAGTCTCAAACTAACTAGTTTCAATGTATTGTTTAGTGTGGACTTTGCACCATAACTTATGGTAGAACTTCTGTATCGCTGGTGCAACAGGCTGCAGAACTTCTTGTTCGCTTAATAACTGTCACTGAATGTTTGGGGTCGTTGTCATGCGGCAGAATATATTTGGAGCCAATCAGATGCCTCCCTGATGGTATTACAGAATGAATAAGTATCTGCCTCTACTTCTTTGAGTATTGAGACCATTCATTCTGACCAAATCCCCAACTCTATTTGCAGAAATGCAGCCACAAACTAGCAAGGAACCGGCCAAATATTTGTAAATATTTAAAATTTTGACTCAGTTCAGAGCACCTGTTTTACTGCACCCCAGTTCCTGTTTACATGCATAGTTGCCTTGTTTCCATGTCGGAGGTATGACTTTTTGGCCGCAAGTCTTCCATTAAGGCCTACCTCTGATCAGACTTCTCTGGATTGTAGATGGATGTACCAGAGTCCCATTGTTTTCTGCCAGCTCTGAGCTGATGCCACTGCTGTTCCACCGATTGTTTAGAGGTCTGTTGATGAGCATGCTGTCATTTCATGAGCTACGGCTATATAGTCTATTTGATCGATAGAAGCAGAACAGCAGAAGAAGGATGAATGCCCAAGGTGTTTTGGCAATGACACGAGTGAAGGAGAATTGGATGGGGGAGAGATAACTGCAGGCATGAGTGCGTAAGTCTGTGTGCGTGTGTGAGAGAGAAAGAGAGAGAGCGCTCTGTTACTTTATTTTCAGAGGCTACCCAAAAGAGCAAGTTATTATTACCAAAATTTTGTTTTTAATTTTGTTAAGGTTTGGCCAGTAGAGTGCAGGACTAAGACAGGGAGGAGTTAGATAAAAGAGGAATATTTATTGTTAAGGGATTGGATTTTGAGCAAGGCAGAGTGGGAGATTAAATGCTGCAGAACCGGGTTGGTGGTTGCTGTGTAGAACAGGGGGGAAAACATACCTGAGAGTCCAGAGTGTGAGAGTCCAGAGTATGAGTTGCTGAGCTATGCAGGTCCAGAGCAGAATCCGGGAAAACCGTAAAACTTATATTAATAGCCCAGGCTTTAATTTGCTAATATTAATGAATTGACCCTGCCTATATTTGGGACATTCCTTCATATGGGACAGGCCTTTAATTCCTTTTGCACTAAACTCTTGTTCAGCAAGGATGTAACAGGCCACTATCAAACCAGTATGAATTTTATATTTATATGAATATTATATCAAATAACATATCAATTACAAATCATTCCTTTGATCTAGCTCTGACTGACAGCTTAGGCGCTTTTATTTTGTAGGTGTCAAAGTAACGAAAACGAGCATACTCAACCAAACGGTGCAGGATGCAGAGAAAAGTGTGGCAGAAGTCAAGTTTGTATGAAAATCTGTTTTGATTCTTTTGACCCTTACAGACAAAAGGAATATACATCTCTCTTGTTTACCATGACAGTAAATCTGAGTGAATTAGACTTTGGGGCTCGTTGTTTTTGCAAAATGAACTGAACAGTTGAATGGTGGAGAATCTAACCGATCTAACGATGTGTATCATGTCCATACTGAAAAAGTTTAAACATTTATATTTATATGTGTGTTCGAAGCAGCTTAGAACTAGCCAAAGCTGGAGACCCGGGGGGTTTAAGAGGTTTTATACATCCAAAGAACTTCTATAAAAACCAGACCCGGCATCTAATCGAGACCTGCGCTTATCTGTCTCCAATGTGTACCCACACCAGGCCAGTAAACAATGTAGTCGGCTATTTGATTTTACAGTAGTTTAGCAAGGCGGGGGTACAGGGAGAGGAGACGGGATGAGCGCTATTTCCAGTAGCGTAACTTGAACAACACATTAATATGCAAAATTAGCTTTTAACTTTAATTGTTAGCCTACTCAATGTTCTTCTACAATAGGTCTAATATACGGTAGTTATTTAAATGAGTTCATTATGTTGTTTATATAAGTATATGAATTGAATTGATTTTTTTTATTTGTTTGTTTTTTTGTTATTTTCCTTTAGCTTTGGCAGTACTGTTGTATTAACATTCATGCCAACCGACCTGACTTCTTTTCTCCGTGAGATGGAAGAGTTTAGAAAGTTGCGTGGAGCTGCGGAGAGCCCCCAGCTGCAGTAGTGCATGGATCACCCATGAAATTCATCCCGCCAGAGGGAACGATCACCAACTGTTCACAGCGCGCTGGTCGTAATAGCGACACAAACCATTATAGGTATTGGAGAGGAATGGGGTGTACAGGGCCAGGGACAGGAGATCCCGGAGCGACCGAGTGTGGACGGTCAGTGATTGTTCCCTCTGGCTGGATGAGGCACGATCTGCTGGCATTTCCTCACGTCTGGGTCATTGCTGCATACTGTAGCTGTTTCTGCTGGGGTTTCCCAAAGCAGTTTTTCAGGTTTGCTGTCCCAAGTACTTAGTGCAATCTCAGGCAGGATGGGCCACACGATTTTAACACACACTGAACGAAACAAACCAAGGTTTTTACGCAGTGGCTTTCCCTCCGGACTCTTAGAGGCAGAAACCATTAAAAAATGCAAAACCCTCATTTAAATACTGCCACCTCTATTGCGTTTGCTCCTGTTGTCGTCTAATAATTCTTAGTAAATCATCTGAGTCTGGCTGTTTCTCGCCCCGTTATATTCCTCCTACGCAGCTGTTTCTGTTTCAGTTAATGATTGTGTTTCAACCTGAAAATTGGAGGGTGATCATTAGCACCTGTTTGGTATAATTGTTTAACCATACACCTGACGATATGCCTACAAATTCCCTGACTTTGTGCAAGCGTACCTAGAAGAATTTATGCTGTTGAAGGCAAATGGTGGTCGCACCAAATATTGATTTGGTTTATATTTTTTTCTGTTCACTCACTTTAATCTATTAACATGTCTATTTTTTCCTATTATTTAAATGTTTTGCACAGTACTTTATATACATATATATTTGCACAAATGACGGAATGACTTTTGTCCCCTATCACTTACATTGGGACATCTTAATGTCCAGCATGAACAGGAAGCAAAACCTGTTTCAGTGTACATATGGGGACTCTGATTGTTGTGTTAAGACAGACTTGACAAAAAAGTGAACATGATACAAGCTATGAATAATAACCACAGGTGAATGTAAAGTTTGTTAAGAAGGCTGCAGGCTTGCCAAGTGTTTATCAAGTGTTTTTGAAATGTGAAATCATTAACAGCCACTATGCTGGTCATGTGTAGCATTTCAGTGAACACAATTATCTACTTTGGAGTTCAGTAATGAATATGTATTTCTACATCTCCTCTATGAATAAAACTCTGACAACATCATGACAAATGGTTTTTAGTCATTCGGCCGGTACAGATTGTTCTTGGGCCCTCAGATTCCCACTGGTTTGCTGACAGCTTTTACTTCACACAAATTCATCAGTCCTGGGAGAACTGTCCATAACTGTGAGAGAGACAGTGTTTTACCTTCCACACAGGGTCTGTGGACGGACTTGTTGATCTTCAGCCCAGACAATATTTGTTCACACACATGCTGTGGGTGCATCAGAACTTCTTTTCGTTTTGATTTGACAGACTGACCTCACTACCTCTATCATCTTGCTGGTCATTACCCAATGAATTTTTCAGCCTTCTCCGAATGCAGACTTTATCCATCCAGCCGGTCTACTTTTGTCAATCTGTTTATTATAGACATCTCAAGCGAGACACACAAATTTTGCAGTTAACTTAACTCCATTTCACTAATATCAGCGGTAGTTTTACAAAAGATGAGACATGATTTGAGACCCTTTTGAAGACTAAAATGTTTGCTGCCATAAAGCCGGACAGTCTCACAACTGAGAGATGTGTTTCTGTGGTAACGATGAATGACCCCTGCTGACATCTGACATGTAGAGGTAAACATTACTCAATTTGTAGTTTGCTAACACTGTTGTGACGCGAGGAACCAGAATTGTTTCATTCACCACTGAGTCTACCTCATAAAACTTTTGCGTAATTGAGATATTATTCCACAAGACACAAGCATTCAGCTGGAATAAACAGGACTCAGACATGCAGACATGATTTTGGTTTGAGAGTCCTAAATCAGCTAGAACACAGAGCAAATACTGTAATGGCCCTAATACCCTAATGGCTAAAACCCTTAGTTTTTAGTCTGATGCTGTGCCTTCATTCGAGATGTGGTTGAGGGAGCTGGGTGAGATCCTCTATCTGGAGAAACTTAAATTCAAGAATGCAAGAAGTAAGAGTGTTTGACAAGACATGGGGACCAGTGTTGAGACACTTAAGGGTTCTGAGGGAGGGTCATGGCGTGGGATGAACAACTGACAATATTAACCCTGTAACAATGGTAGCTGTATATGTGTTTATTTGTTTTAAACCTTTTCTTTGCTTTTTCACTCTCTTGGTTTGCTCTCGTTTTCTAGCATGAGTACTGCTCTTTAATTACTTTGCCCACTGATGTATGAGATCCTCCATACAACTGTAACCATATGTTCTTTCACGTTGGAATTTTGTTGTTATTGATATAAAATGTGGAAAAGCAAGATTGCTTTTATGTTCCAGTGTGGACTGTACCCAAGAATGACCTGCAAATTACTCCTGATTAAAGCCACTGTGTCTTGTATCTGAAAATATCTGACTTCGGCGCCCCTCCCCCAGTGTTAGCATCAGATCAGTTACTGTGGCAGACAGCTCTGTACTGTGCTTATTATGGGTGTGGAAAAGGAACTTGTATTCATCCTTGATTTAACAGCACCAGGGAAACGGTGGTAAAATGTCAAACCCTTGGACAGAGCTCAGTGTTCGGTATCTTCGGTTTACATGAACACATCGCCAGCCCTGTGGTTGACAGGGACCTGACATTATCCAGCAAAAATATCTCAGTCAGATCATTTTATTCTGTGTTTGCTTTGTTTCCAGCTTGAATGCTGTTCATACAAAGCGACAGCAATGATTTATTTAGTTATTTTCTTTGTGTGTGTTTATTTACAGTCCTTGAGGAAGGTGGCGTGAAGATGAAGTTGACAGTCGTTGACACCCCAGGCTTTGGAGACCAAATCAATAATGACAACTGGTGGGTTTTCCAACTCCTGGATCATTAAAGCTTCATAAATGTCATAATCACTGCCTCATCTAACCAAGAACTATTTTTTCACTTGCAGCAATGCATTTAGTTCCCTAAAACGATACTGAAAATGGTCCTACTCAACTAGTCTTCTTATGTTTTCTCGCTGAAGTAGTCTTTTTCTCTCAAGCTGACCTCTTCTGTATCCACAGCTGGGAGCCCATTTCCAAGTACATCAATGAGCAGTATGAGAAGTTCCTAAAGGAGGAGGTCAACATCACCAGAAAGAAGCGAATCCCTGACACCAGGGTGCACTGTTGTCTCTATTTCATCACCCCGACTGGACACTCGTGAGTTAAACTTTATCAGAACCAGAGATTAGTAAAGTCTCCACTCAAACCATCTTTAAGTATCTGATCTAAAAAGGGACATCTGTCTGTGCACAAATACAGCACACAGTGTTCATGTCCCTTTATCCAAAAACATTTCATCTGAGATTAACAAAGCCCTGTGTGTGCTACTTTATATTGCAGACAACACACCTCTCTCTCTCTCTCTCTCTCTCTCTCTCTCTCTCTCTTCTGAACCTCATAATTAGCTCCTGCTGACAACTGTGAAATTGCTCTTTAATGGATAGACGGATACAGTCTTTTGTGTAGTACAACCAGTGTATCCCATCCTTCGTAGCAGGCATAATTGAGACTGACAGGATGTTTTGTGTGTAGGCAAACAAGAGCGGGGATGCAACCTTTGTCCAATGATAAGCCCACTTTTCAATAGCATTCACGCTGTAAGTCTCTTGTAATTGCTACAGGACCAGGCAAAGCTAATGAGACGTATGAAATTATGATAAATAAAAACCCTGTACCTCCTTCTGCTATTTGTTATCCTCACCATCTTTCCACTGTCACACACGAGCCTTGTGGAAGAATCAAATCCAGCTCCTAAATCGATCTACTTGTCTCTTTTTCATTCTCTTTCTTTTTTGCTCGGTCTGTCTGTCTCAGTCTCCGGCAGCTAGACCTCGAGTTCATGAAGCACTTAAGTCACTCAGTCAACATTATTCCTGTCATCGCGAAGGCAGACACGATGACCATTGAGGAGAGACAGGAGTTCAAACAGCGGGTGAGTTTCACCAATGATCCCACATAAAGCTAGACTGATAAATTGCCCTATATATCAGCTAATATAAGCTTAATGCCAGAGCCTATAGTTATCAAGAAATGCCAAAGATAGGTTTGTATTTTAGAAACAGTGTCTCCATTACATCGTTTGTCCTCCACAGAGCATTGATTGAGTTAATTTATCAACTTGTCCTGGTCAGTACATATTTTGGTGTTTAAAGCTGCTCTAATAAATATCTTTAGATTAACAATGGATCAAATGACAAACCCACAGAGAATCATCAACCGACAGTTTCACTCAGTTCTTTTATCTCATTGTTTTGGTTTTATATCCCGCAACCTTTTGGTTCAGTCTCCCTGCTCTCATAGTGTTGTTGCAGCTCTAAAAACCCACTGTACACTACCTGATATATTTGCATATCTTTCAAAGTTAAATACTGGACAGGCTATAGGTCCCACATGAGTGGTTTGAAGACGGTTCTCAGATGAAGATGTGCGTTGTTTCCTGGCTTTGTTTTGTGCTGTAGGTAAGAAAGGAGCTGGAGATGAGCGGGATCGAGTTTTACCCACAGAAGGAGTTTGATGAGGACATGGAGGACAAGAGCGACAATGACAAGATCAGAGTGAGTGGTTCTGTTCTTTCGTTCACACACATCACATTATTTTCCTCCTCTTCAAGAGCATGAGTTTTTCCCTCCCCTCCCTTCCACCCAGCTTGATTCAATCTGTCTCACACTCACGCACCGCTTCCCCCAAACAGAATGTCAGGACACTGGGCCATGTATTTGTTTCATCTCATAAACCATGTGCTGCTGTCTTCAGTACACTGAACCGTGGCGAAATCTCTCTGTCCATAGGAGGCGATGCCCTTTGCTGTGGTGGGCAGCGACAAAGAATATCAAGTGAATGGCAAACGAGTTCTGGGTAGGAAGACAGCGTGGGGAATTGTAGAAGGTGAGTGATGTGGCCTTTCTTAATAAGTAAAATTTATAGTCCCTTTGCCAAAGAAATAATATAAATGATCTCAGGTAAAGGACGTGAGCTTTTTGTTTTTTTTCTTTGCAGTTGAAAATCCCAACCATTGTGAGTTTGCTCAGCTGAGAGATTTCCTGATCAGGTAAAGTAGTCTTTTAAATAGATAATTAAAACCTCAATTCAATGCAATAAACTGCATATAAGGACAATTAGAAATAATGGGATTTGCCATATTGAGAAACTTTTGCTTATAATAGTACTTTAACAATAACAAAAAATGTCCCACAGTGATTAAATCTTAAAATGGAAGATATTAAATTTACTATCAAATAAGGCTACGCAAACCAGCAAATATTCACATTTGAGACGATTTAACCACAACTTTTTTTACTTAAAGAAATGGCTCAAATGATTAACCGTTTACCAAAATAGTTGCCGATGAATTTTCTCATGATCAACTAGTGATTCAATAGTTGACCAATAAATTAAAAAGTAAACATAATGTGAAAATAACGATAAGTACATAATAAGCCTTTTGAAAATAAGGATGTGTAATTCTTTGCATGTAAGGGTATAATATTTTTATTTTACTCTGTGGCTAATTGGATCCAAATGCTTTCAAGGTCCAGTCATGCTTTTGCACTGTATTAAATCTAAACACAAGGATCACTAAAAATGCATTTAAAAAGCACAATAGCGTTGATACCTCCCTGTTTTAAATAGATATATACATAACTAGAAATGTGTCTCTTTCTCAGGTCTCACCTCCAGGATTTGAAGGAGGTCACTCATAACATTCACTATGAAACCTATCGTGCCAAGAGACTGAACGAGAATGGAGGTCTGCACCCCATATCATCCAATGACACCCAAGAAAGCAACCTGTAGTCAGTCAGTCAGTCAATCGGGAATTGTTCAGGCAGAGGGAGAAAAAAAACGTGCAATGAAGCTGATAGATGAAGCTACTGAATATTATAATCCACCACAGCATCGCTGCATACTTGTAAACATTTAAATTGATGTCATTTAATAATTTTTTTTCTGATTCCAAACTCCACCATCGTCTTCTACACTTCCTTACCCCATACACATATCAAACCCCTCTAGTCACATTCAAGTCTTTCTTATGAATATTTACATGACAGGACACCCAGAGACTTAGTGCCATCATAAAACATTTTATCTACTGCCAATGCCTTGTCACTTATCATTGTCCGGATAGTTACTATGTGTGAAAGAGGCTAATTCTTAGGTTTTAGTGTTGTGTAGCAACTTGATTCAGACAAATGAAATTATTTGCTCTAGATATTAAAATCATAATTCCTGTGTAGTAGCGATGCATGAGGCAACTCTGCAGATGACTCTGTACAAATTGCTTTTTTTAAATTCACAGCAGCAATGGTTCATTTGGAGAAAGAATCCCTGTGGCTTTACTGCCAGGAGGGCTTAACAAACATTACAAGCTGCGCTGTCTTCTTTCATACCCACCATCACGGAGAAAACAAATTGGAATGAAATGTCTCCAATATTCCCTCGCCCTGTTTATGTTTGATTTTCCATTTCAAAATAGTCTGTGCACACAGACCTGCATACTAAGATGGGAGACAGCTGCAACATCAGTCACATATGAAATGCAGCTGTGTGTGTGTGTGCGTGCGTGCGTGCGTGTGTGCATGTGTGTGTAATTAATGAGTCCACGAGGTGCATGACTGCATACTGCAGATTCTGTGATTCCATGATTCACCGTAATAAACACTTTGAGATGATACAGCTCAGCATGCTGAGTTAAATCACAGTGGGTACAGAGGACAGTAGTTTTATAAAAAAAAAAGTTTTTATTCGGGATTCAGATTGACTTTGTGAACTATTTTGACAGCTAAATGGTCAACACGCGCCCAATTAGAATGTCAATCTAAACACCTGCAGCATGTAATTTAATCCGTATTACTTTATAGAAATGAAGTGGCATTGCCAATAATGACATAAAACAATCACATTTCTTTACAAGTTTACTCAACTGGAGTAATCCATATATAGTGTAAATCAGCTGTTGGGAAACCACTAGCACTTTGCTTAAGTTTTTTTTATTTGTTAGGCCTTTTTGTCCTCACCGGACCCACTGATCAAAAAGAAATCCGACCACATCAGTGTACCTGGTGATAGGTGAACAGAAAACTGAAAATTATTTATTTTTCTGTTTAATGTCTTGTGCCATGCAAAGTATTTGTTATCTCTGGTGGTGACCAAGTGTTTGTGTTAATTCCATTTTGAAATTAAATTTGTCATGCTCACCACTTGGGGGCAGCACTCTGCCATGAATAAGGAGTGACTCAACAGAACAAGAAACAGACACTCTGACGACCTTTGTGTCCTCATATCGACTGCTGAGATTTTTACACAGTCCAGGCTTATTTCCTGAGAGTTTACAGATTTTTGGGTCCACCACTGCCGTCAGTGAAAACTAACACATCTCTCCAGATCAGGTTTACAAGAAAATACCCAATGGTATGCACTCAAAGTGTTGGTGTAATTATTCCAAATCAATTAATTTATTAGGTTGTAAACATGTTTACCAAGTTTTCTTTAGGAACTCAACATTTATACTGTCTGCAGGACAGCATGAATATGTACAAGTACAAGTAATTAAATCTTTCAATATCTATCAATCAAAGTTGAATCATCATTTTATACAATCATACCTGTTTGTGTGATTTTTATATGAAATGTGATGTCTGCAACAAACTGATAATAGTTGTCTGTGATTTTAGTGCAGTCAAAGGTTTCAAGCAGAAATTTGAAAGTGTTAATCTGCATGCTTGTGTCCATATTGCCTGTTTGCTTACAGTTGATTAGTTCACGCATCATTGCAACTTAACATCAACTCATCAACTATTTCTGAATGTGTGACGTGTACATTAAATCTAAATCATGAGGTACAGCGCTGCTGTCTTAACTCCTATACCCAAACTGACAGCCTACCATCTACATATCACTCATCCTGTTGAATCAGTAGAACTTCACAATGTACATTTATTTAATAACCACTTTTTTCAAAGTTGAGATATAATTTTCAGTGTTATATTGAGTTATTTATACATTAATGTCTTATTATAATGTATTCTTTATTTAATAAAAGCACATTCCCATGTTTTTTGAAAGAGCGTTTTTTTCATGAATGTCTAAATAATACATGATTTATATTACATATATGTATATAAGATACCCACAAAATGCTCATATTAATATATTTTTATTATTGTAGTAGTAGTAGTTTTAGTAGTAATGGTAGTAGTATTGTTGGACAACTCATATTGAACTTAAATCACAAGAGAGGAAATAAGCTTGAATTAAATATAGGTGGGATATAATTAAACCAAAACCAAAGCTTAAAAAATATCAATTATGCTTATTATTATTAATTACAGCCATATTACTGTAGTTAAAACAAATAGTGGATGTATAGTTTTGGTTTGTGTTGATTCAAAAATTTAATTTAATTTTTTAATTTTTAATCAGTGAACTGTAAAATCACTACAGGCTGTAGTGATCTCAATACACATTTCAACTGCTTCTGCTGAGCCCTACCTTTTGTGCAGTGTAGGGCAGTCCCAGGAGCAGACAGCATAATGAGCTGCTGTTTTAGTATATCAGGCCGTGTATACACGCAGACCGTGTTGCAAACTCAATGAGGTAAACTATGCTCTCACTGTTTCAAATATGGACATAACCACAACTCTTCACAGTTGGAGGCTCACCACCTACAAGGCAAACTGTAGCGCTCCGTGGGAATGCCAGTCAAGAAAAGGGCATGTGTGGTACAGAAAAAGAATTTCAGTACCAATCAAACTGCTTGAGTGAGTTTATTTAAAAAAAAAAAAAAAATTCAGTTCTTGACCACTAGTGTCTATGCAACTCACAACTGCCTGTATGCAAGAAGCCCCATCCTTGTTAATTTTCATTTTTGTACTTTATTGTCACATACACATTGCGAAATTCATTCTCTGCGTTCAACCCATCCCTCAAGTGAGCAGTGGGCAGCTTCTGTGCAGCGCCCGGGGACCAACTCCAGATCTATGTCAGTGTCTGGTCAATGGCACTGACCTAACATGTTCTTGATGGTGGGGGAAACCGGAGCACCCAGAGGAAACCCACGCAGAGATGGGGAGAACATGAAACTCCACAAAGAAAGGCCAGGACGACTGCCGTGCCGCACTGTACTCCACTGAAATTTCCATAGGGTGTAAAATTGAAAAAAGGCTTTAGCATAGCCAACATCTTGGCTGCCTTGGCAAATTCATGCTGCATCTTGTGCAGAACAAAACAGAGAAAGATGTGCGAGGCTCCAATGCTGAAGCATTCATGCTCCATAAATGTACTGTAAATATACCAATTCTATCACAATAACAAATACTGTGACTTCCTTAACTAAAATAAGAAAGTACACCAGTTAGCTCGTTAGCTGGCAAGTGGGCAATACACACAGACTAATGTAATGATTTTCAATCACATGTAATATATCCATCTAGCCACAAGGCGGCGGTGTGATAATTTACTTAACTTAGAGAGAGGAACTCTTACTTCATGTTATCACCGGAATATGAGGTGGAAAATAAATGACTTGCACAAGCTAGCTGTTCATTGAAATGTCTTCATTGAAAAGGACATTACATGGTACCAGGAGTCAGGTCATGTGCTTCAGCAACTACAAAAAACAGTAGATTGTGCAATTTGTCCTTGTACGTTACTTTTAGTCTGCACACACCTAAACAGTCTACATCCTGTACATTGTAGTTCCTCAATGATATTGTCTTTTTCTGCATTATGGGCTTTTCTTTCATGGCTTTAATGTCACTTATACTTATCAAGTTTGCTTTTGCCCCAGTGTCAAGTTTCAGTGTAACTAATGCTCCATTTATTTGCAGAGACACAATCCATTTATTCTCTTGTACTGCATTCACTTTAAAGCATAAAGTCAGCATCGTTCTTTACGGTGGGCTGCACATTTTCTGTGGCAATTCCTACAAAAAATGTCACTTAAATCAGTGTCCTCAACAACATGCACAGTTTGTCCTTTACATGTTTTGCCTTTTGAAAAACACTGCTTGGCATAGTGATTCTTACCATTACATTTTGTGCACATTTTACCAAATGCTGGCCATTGCCTTGGTTCATGCTGGAAACCACACAGTTTGCAACTGAATGTCCCTTCCTGCAACTTCTTTGCATTCCTGGACTATTGCGAACTAGCAACAACAACAACATCTAGCAAACAACATCAGCTAACATTCTTTGGCAATAATCACACCATGGGACTAATACCAGTCTTAGTAACCATCTTAAATCAACTTTGTTATAACTCTATGACCCCACAATCAACTAACTGCAGCCATCTACTGCTTGGATTCCAAAATGTTTTGTGGCCCACTTATGCCTACTAGTCATTGCGAATAAAATAAAAATAGCTGCTTGTCGGAATCTGGTTAACCCTAATCCCTAAATCTAATGTTAGAATGATTAAAAATGCCGCCAAAAAGAGTCCGAGCCAATGTGCAGTTTTGCAGTTGTGCACTATGGTGCAGTGTTTTACTTGTATCTGTTATTACCTGTGTGCCTCCAACTATTTGACTGCCTTGTGGTGTGCCACAAGGCTCCATTTTGGGCCCTTTAAATTTCTCCCAACACATCACATATGGACACTTGATGTCGCTTTTTAACACCATGTGTGCGACTAATAAATAAATATGCAACATCCTATAGACTTTCAAAATAAAACTAGTGGTTAACATTGTAAAACAGCAAATAGTTAACATTGTGAAACGTTGTGTGCAAAGAAAAACCCTCCGACTGGTCCAGAGGCCTAATGGGCCCTCACTTTCAAACTTTGTCTTCTTGGATGTAACTTGTAACTCAAACTTAGATGAATTGATGTAATGTTAATCTTCAGTGAGACATTGACTCCAGTAAGTTCTAATCAACTCAAGTTTAGTGATAATTTCAAAAAAGTGCAAATACAAATACATGTGTTGGTCCCAGGGAGCAAATACTTACTCCGTATTTCATTGATTGATTTATTCTGTCTCACTTGTCCTCCTGTGTATGTTGGTTCCACCTTCTTCATATCTACACATAATCAATATTAAAACAATAGTATAATCCACTAAAACACTTCTGAATAAATAAAGGAAATAAAGACTGAAATGTGACACTAATCAATAAAGAATCATTGTGGTATTAGTAAAAAAGTATATGTGCATGAAACAAGGAGTTAGCACAAGCGCAAGTTCATGTGCTGAGTTGCATGCTGACATTCACAGCCTTCAGAGTACCAGTCTACTTGCAAAGGCCCATTTAATTTGTGTGTCCGGTGGTGTAGTCTATTTTTTTCTAGTGAGTATACTGTGATTTTTCCCTCCCAGCCTCATACTCACCACTACACTCACTAATACATAAATGATGCATGTACATGTAATAGAGCGCATTCTGAAGGACTGCTTAGGTTACAACGCAAAGACTTTAACAGCCAATGACAGTTACAGGTGGGAAAGGGCGTCACTTTGTGTTGAAAAGTGGTGGGGACATTTTAGGGTTCAGATTAGAGTTGTGACAAAACACTTAGCATAGGAGACGTGACAATCCACAATATTGGGGTCACAAGATCCAGACTAGAAGATATTTTAATACTATGTAAAGAAATATTCATTGATGAATACACAATTGGGGGGTCTGGGGGTCCTCCCCTAGAAGATTTTGAGCATTAAACATTTAATTTCCTGCATTCTGGAGACATTTTCTGCACCAATTTATGGTCGAAATGTCTAATGTTTAGTGTTAATCACAATCTAACTCAGCCAGTTAAGAGCTACATTTAGCCTTAGATATTATGAACCTGGTTTTATCATCTGGCAATTTTCAATGCACATTTCAGAGTGCAAGTTGCAACTATTATTAACGATAATGGAAAGCTGGGGCTTTTCAGTAGCAGTAATAACAATGAACATAGGCTTATGTGCAATTCTATCACCAAAACTCATTCATTACAGAATATTATTAACAGCGCGGACACAAAAAGTGGTCCACATCATCTCAAGCACACTTATCTTCCAAAACCATTGTCAAACTTAGGTTATGTTATCAGCTTAAAAGCATGAGCAAGCATCCAGGAACTGCTACTACTGTATGTACACACACACACAGTATCCCGCATTCATTGAGCCACCACATTAAGGTTAGTTAACTAGTTGTAGATTCAATTCAATAGACCAACAATGCTGTTACAGTTCCGTTAATGATAACACAGGCCTATATTCTATTTTCACTCACCAGGTAACGTTACGATAGCATCAGCCTCATCTGGCTCGTTTTCTGTGTTTCAGTAACTTTAACGTTCGTGTCAACTGCTGCAGCTGCAGTGTCACCCGGAGCGGCAGCCGCTTTAGCTGCAGGCTTACGAAAACACTAAAAGAGTGTAGTTTGAGTTTGCTCGCGTTTCACATCTCCTTTAGTGATTCACATTAGTTAATTTCAAACGTGCGCCGAGTGACCGCCACGCAGCTGTGTTGTTATTAGGTGAGGTCAGATCCCGGTCACAGGCCACGGAAGCAGCAAACGCCAGTTCAGAGCTTCGTAACACAAACAGGGTGAATTTATGAATGAACGTGTGAATATTCTGTCACAAAATGTTGTTACGTATCATCTCGCTATTTTAAGTGGGTATACGGAAATCTTTGACCGTTCCTAGTGGTTATACGGCCTATACCTGCGTATCACGTAGACTACACCACTGGTTAAAATAACTTACTTATGTGACTTTACTTACGTAGGTTAAGTAACAGTACTTGCGAAACTTAATTAAAAACAATCATTGTTAACTTTTTGTTACACACGAGAAACGAAAACTGGTCTCCACCTCCTTTTACTTTTCTGTTAAATATCATAAACCTACCTTTAGTTCTCAAAAATGATGGTACAGGGCTTCCCCCAGTGCTTGTACCTGGGGGCACCACAGAACAGCATTATCTGCTACTGCTCTGTCCACACACGATCATTTAAAGTGGCTGTTTTCAGTCTAACAAGATGTGGGTAGGGCGATTCACTAGGACCAGGAGTGCGTACCACTGTACTATATGATTTTATTTAGTACAGTGCTCTGGTGCTAGCA